TCCTCAAAAGGGAAGAACCCACGAGTTTCAGAAGCCAGCCAAGTTTTAAGCAAGTGAGTGGCGCCCCAACTTAGTACTAGATGCGGTAGTGGGTAATTGCCACAAGTCAGAAATTCAGCAGCCGCGATGAAGCGGCAAGCAGCGGCCGCAAGCCCATTATAATCGTCGTCGTCGTCGTCGTCATCATCATCACCAAATCGAATGCCTGTTACGGCACGGTATAATTTTTGGCAATAGTAATGCCGTGCTGACAGCGCCTATGACTTCCATGGCAACAAGAGCTATGTTGACACATGCCAATCGGGAATCTGGGCAAGCAAAAGTCTTTGTGGTGGAAATTATTGCGACATTGTTACGATAGTGAGAGATGGTGGTAAGGATTGCGTGCTTTGCTAATAAGCTACCACGACAAAGAATTCAAGGAAAGCCGTTGATGGAACCTGTGGCAAATTACAGAAGTGACGGTACTTAGAGCAGTTATCAGGACCGCAGGCATATCAACACACGTAGTAACAGCCACATAGTAGTTAACGTACCGGAAACAGAAGTTGTAGATTGTAGACCTCGTGGTCAGAACAAGAGTAGTTAGTGGAGGAACTCATGAACGTATCGTAATGCCACCAACTCCGTGCATGACGACGAACAATCTCAGTGAGCTTCGTAGCAAGACACCGTCGCATGTTTTATGCGCATGGGCATGGTGCCAGGAACAAGCTAGAGTGAGTCACATCACCCTGTGTCACTGACGACCAGCTGTGACAGATTCGTTGTGTGGGGTTGGCTTGGCTGCCTCTTGCACTGGGTGTGATTCTTGCACTTTTGATCGTCGTTGTTCTGCCTCCTGCTCCTTTTGCTATTGCGCTAAATCTGAACAAAGACCCCGGCTCGTCTGAGGCCTCCCCTAAACCCTAAACCGGGTTGAGGCCATCCGGGATGATGAGATCCGATTGCACGGGGATGCGCCACCCGAGGTCGGTCCGCGCATGTGTACATGTGACGACATGCATTCTTCAAAGGGTCTTACAACACCTTGACAACTAGAAGCCGTTGCTTCGAAGATAATCATGCGCAACCTACAAATCGTAGCCGCGAAAGTTTTATGGACAGCAGCACGAAGGCTTCAAGCAAGATTGGAACTCCGGACAGAACTCTTGAAAACGCAATGACACGGCTGTCGATCGCGCATTTCGTTCTGGCGGCAAGCTGCACAATGATCGCAGCAACGCAGACTGTCTGCGAGAAGGCACTCTTGGAGCTGATGAGCGAAGACGCTTGCGGCAACGAGAATGGCCCCGACCCTGCGAAGGCATGCACAAGCACTTGCAAGTCCTTGGCATGTGACGTGGTCAGTGCGTGCCCAGCTGGCTCCACTGTTCGGGTCGAGGATGAGACGGGTAGCTTCACGATTCCAGCCGAGGATGTGCAGAACATCGTTAAGGAGCTGTCCGCAGAGCACACGTCTTGTCCATGTGCAGCCGCTGTGAGCCAGCCCAACAAGACTGCGGCTGTGCAGAAGGCAAGCAAGGTCGTCAGCAGCAGTGACAAGCGTGACAAGGGCTCGCGGACTGTCTGCGAGAAGGCACTCTTGGAGCTGATGAGCGAAGATGCTTGCGGCAACGAGAATGGCCCCGACCCTGCGAAGGCATGCACCAGCACTTGCAAGTCCTTGGCATGTGACGTGGTCAGTGCGTGCCCAGCGGGCTCCACTGTTCGGGTCGAGGATGAGACGGGTAGCTTCACGATTCCAGCCGAGGATGTGCAGAACATCGTTAAGGAGCTGTCCGCAGAGCACACGTCTTGTCCATGTGCAGCCGCTGTGAGCCAGCCCAACAAGACTGCGGCTGTGCAGAAGGCAAGCAAGGTCGTCAGCAGCAGTGACAAGCGTGACAAGGGCTCGCGGACTGTCTGCGAGAAGGCACTCTTGGAGCTGATGAGCGAAGATGCTTGCGGCAACGAGAATGGCCCCGACCCTGCGAAGGCATGCGCCAGCACTTGCAAGTCCTTGGCATGTGACGTGGTCAGTGCGTGCCCAGCGGGCTCCACTGTTCGGGTCGAGGATGAGACGGGTAGCTTCACGATTCCAGCCGAGGATGTGCAGAACATCGTTAAGGAGCTGTCCGCAGAGCACACGTCTTGTCCATGTGCAGCCGCTGTGAGCCAGCCCAACAAGACTGTGGCTGTGCAGAAGGCAAGCAAGGTCGTCAGCAGCAGTGACAAGCGTGACAAGGGCTCGCGGACTGTCTGCGAGAAGGCACTCTTGGAGCTGATGAGCGAAGATGCTTGCGGCAACGAGAATGGCCCCGACCCTGCGAAGGCATGCACCAGCACTTGCAAGTCCTTGGCATGTGACGTGGTCAGTGCGTGCCCAGCGGGCTCCACTGTTCGGGTCGAGGATGAGACGGGTAGCTTCACGATTCCAGCCGAGGATGTGCAGAACATCGTTAAGGAGCTGTCCGCAGAGCACACGTCTTGTCCATGTGCAGCCGCTGTGAGCCAGCCCAACAAGACTGTGGCTGTGCAGAAGGCAAGCAAGGTCGTCAGCAGCAGTGACAAGCGTGACAAGGGCTCGCGGAGTGTCTGCGAGAAGGCACTCTTGGAGCTGATGAGCGAAGATGCTTGCGGCAACGAGAATGGCCCCGACCCTGCGAAGGCATGCACCAGCACTTGCAAGTCCTTGGCATGTGACGTGGTCAGTGCGTGCCCAGCGGGCTCCACTGTTCGGGTCGAGGATGAGACGGGTAGCTTCACGATTCCAGCCGAGGATGTGCAGAACATCGTTAAGGAGCTGTCCGCAGAGCACACGTCTTGTCCATGTGCAGCCGCTGTGAGCCAGCCCAACAAGACTGCGGCTGTGCAGAAGGCAAGCAAGGTCGTCAGCAGCAGTGACAAGCGTGACAAGGGCTCGCGGACTGTCTGCGAGAAGGCACTCTTGGAGCTGATGAGCGAAGATGCTTGCGGCAACGAGAATGGCCCCGACCCTGCGAAGGCATGCACCAGCACTTGCAAGTCCTTGGCATGTGACGTGGTCAGTGCGTGCCCAGCGGGCTCCACTGTTCGGGTCGAGGATGAGACGGGTAGCTTCACGATTCCAGCCGAGGATGTGCAGAACATCGTTAAGGAGCTGTCCGCAGAGCACACGTCTTGTCCATGTGCAGCCGCTGTGAGCCAGCCCAACAAGACTGTGGCTGTGCAGAAGGCAAGCAAGGTCGTCAGCAGCAGTGACAAGCGTGACAAGGGCTCGCGGACTGTCTGCGAGAAGGCACTCTTGGAGCTGATGAGCGAAGATGCTTGCGGCAACGAGAATGGCCCCGACCCTGCGAAGGCATGCACCAGCACTTGCAAGTCCTTGGCATGTGACGTGGTCAGTGCGTGCCCAGCGGGCTCCACTGTTCGGGTCGAGGATGAGACGGGTAGCTTCACGATTCCAGCCGAGGATGTGCAGAACATCGTTAAGGAGCTGTCCGCAGAGCACACGTCTTGTCCATGTGCAGCCGCTGTGAGCCAGCCCAACAAGACTGCGGCTGTGCAGAAGGCAAGCAAGGTCGTCAGCAGCAGTGACAAGCGTGACAAGGGCTCGCGGACTGTCTGCGAGAAGGCACTCTTGGAGCTGATGAGCGAAGATGCTTGCGGCAACGAGAATGGCCCCGACCCTGCGAAGGCATGCACCAGCACTTGCAAGTCCTTGGCATGTGACGTGGTCAGTGCGTGCCCAGCGGGCTCCACTGTTCGGGTCGAGGATGAGACGGGTAGCTTCACGATTCCAGCCGAGGATGTGCAGAACATCGTTAAGGAGCTGTCCGCAGAGCACACGTCTTGTCCATGTGCAGCCGCTGTGAGCCAGCCCAACAAGACTGGGGCTGTGCAGAAGGCAAGCAAGGTCGTCAGCAGCAGTGACAAGCGTGACAAGGGCTCGCGGACTGTCTGCGAGAAGGCACTCTTGGAGCTGATGAGCGAAGATGCTTGCGGCAACGAGAATGGCCCCGACCCTGCGAAGGCATGCACCAGCACTTGCAAGTCCTTGGCATGTGACGTAGTCAGTGCGTGCCCAGTGGGCTCCACTGTTCGGGTCGAGGATGAGACGGGTAGCTTCACGATTCCAGCCGAGGATGTGCAGAACATCGTTAAGGAGCTGTCCGCAGAGCACACGTCGTGCCCATGCTCAACCGCTCGCGTTGCAGGCCTCCGTGGTTCAATTCGACGACCTTGATGGATTGCCGTGGTCCGATCGCTTGATGTGACCAGCATTCGTCTGTTCCCCCCCCGACCCCCCAGCTAGGAGCAGCTAGTACAGCACGCTGCTCTCCCAACCCCGCCCTGCCGGCACACTTTTGTCTGCCATAGCGCGTACAGCAGCTCATGGCAATTCCTTTGGCAAGCAAGGGCTTGCAACACACTCCTTGAGAGCACTTTGTGTAAAGCCAAGCATGTCCATCTTCGGCACTTGTAAAGTGTAAATAGCAGATGGCGGAACAGACCAGGCGCAGCTCCTCCCTAGCGCAAAAGGCATTGCAGGACGGGCTGTTGGGTGGGGACACATTTCTGTCGATGGCACCCAGGACCGCTCTCATCGGCACATGGCTGCAGTCATGTACTATTTCCACAGGGTCCAAGCGTTCCTTTATTGGCAAGAAAGATATGCCGTATGCCCCAATACTGCCTGTCTATCATGATGATACCATTCGAAAAAACCCCGAGACCCACCTACTGCTCTAGCTGTTAAGGCCCTTGTTTCAGGGTTTTCGGTAGACATAAAAGGACCCAAAGTCTCAAAGTAGGAAGTGCTTGAGCCCTCAAGGGTGGAGCTATACCTCCAGACAGACCACGTGTACCCAGAGGCCTCAAGGGGTTCCAGGGCCCAGGCTGAAATCTCTAAGCAATGCAATTCTCCAGTTTATGATTTCATTTCGTATACTCATGAACCCCATCCTAATCGAGGAGTGTCCTTACTGTTAGCATGGACCTCTCACCTGTCAACCAACTTCACCAGCGCCGCATGTGGCATGCGCTGCCAGGGCGGTGACGAGCAGGTCATCGATGACTTTTTCTGGGAAGGTGCGTGGACGGGAGGTGTTTTGGGTGCTCCTGAGGCAAAAGAGGTCGGATAGAGATCGGGGCAACGTGCTGAGATTTCGGGGGTGCGGATTCGAACTTGTAGGTTTCTGTCACACCATTAGTCTCTGAGAAGAAAGGAGCCCGAAAAAGCCTTGTCTACAGACCCCCTAGAAGCCCTAAAAACCTTCAACCCTGAACCCTAAGCTTCCTCATTAACCCTGAACCCATAAACCCTAAACTTCCTCAACCCTAAACCCTATAAACCCTATAAGCCCTAAACCCATAAACCCTATATAAGCCACAAAATCCATGTAGCTAAAGGCATCCTTTTGCGCAGCGAGAGCATCGATGCCTTTGCCTCGACGGAGCGTCTGCTTTCGGAGGTCGACTGGATTCTTTTTTGTTTTTTTTTTTTTTTGGGGGGGGGGGGAGGGGTGGGGAGGTTCAGTTATCGGGCTTTTGGGGTTTCTTAGAAGTCTTACGGGGCTTGTAGGGTTTATAGTATCGGGCTTGTAGTTTGTTTTTTGGGCTTTTGCGTTTACAGGGTTGAAGGTTTGGGGTGTCGCGTGTTGCACGGTTTGCATCTTTGTATATGTGTGTGTGTGTGTGTGTGTGCTACTATTTGCTTAAGAGCCCCCAAAAAATGAAACATAAATTCCTTATAGGGATAATGTAGGGATTATATTTTTTTTATTTTTTGGATCGTTCTTAAGCAAATAGTAGTGTGTGTGTGTGTGTGTGTGTGTGTGTGTGTGTGTGTGTGTGTGTGTGTGTGTGTGTGTGTGTGTGTGTGTGTGTGTGTGTGTGTGTGTGTGTGTGTGCGTGTGTGTTTGTTTAGATGGGGCAAAAGTTAGGGTTGCATAGGTGCTTTAGAGCACGGTCTTTGTAGATTGTAGGGTTGATGAGATTTTCAGGGCTGGCGCGAAGGATCATAAGTCTGAGTAAGGTGTAAGTCAGAGTCTGAGTAAGGTGTAAGTCAGCAGCGATTAAGGTGTACATGTGTGTACGATTTCGGAATATGCGGTTTAGGGCTTAGGGCTTTGGGCTCAGAGTAGGGATAGGGGGCTCCTGTGGACAGCGTCACTGCAGGGGTGCCAAGAATTAGGCACTGCTGACATCTGGGTGGCCGATGCAATGCAACCTATGCTTAAGCTCACAATGGTCTTGCATTGCAACCCCCCCAAGCGTGCCATTAAGCGAAACCCACCACAACACAGAATCCTGAGTACAGAAGTCCTTCCCGGCTGCTTGGAGAATGGAAGCTTTAGATGATTCTGAGCCGCGTGTCCAAAGTCTAGAAACTTTTCGGAGTGGGGTTTGATCAGTGCACGGCACTCGAAGGCACCGCCGACCACCACCGAGCGTGACATGCTCCAGGCCAGGGAAGCATGTTGAGAGCAGGACTACAGAGGCTCAAAGACACGTCCGTGGAGCTTTGAAGTCAGACAACTTCCACGATCTGCAGTCCTCTGGTGACGCAGTAGTGCAATTCTGATGGCCAGCGCCCTTGCTGGAGTTGCTGTTAGTAAAGCTGTCCTGTGTCCTTGTGAGCAGTGGTTTGTTCTGCTGTATCAAACCCTCTGTCATTTTTCAAGCCAGCCCCAGGTGAGGGGATGTACACCAACCATGCTCTCCGTACCCAGATGTCATGATGAGCTTTGTTTTTCGTTCGCATAAAGCTGCGCATGCATACCATCAACCGCTGCAGGTGGTGGTCCCAGACTCTCGATGCCATAACGAGCTAGGGTCGTAGAAACGAGCGGTCCCTGTCAACGAAAGCACATACACAGAGCACCAGTTACAGAGCACCAGAAGGATGCCGCCAGGTCATCACCGACTGTGAACCACTCCCTGTGCTGACGCACTGCTACGAGCCCGGGTCTTACCCTGGTGTGTCTGGGAGTCTCACTGTTTACAGGGCTTGAGGGTCTTAGGGTTTAGGATTCAGAAGGGACTGCCATGGGGCCTGGGTTTTTGCATACCCAGTGTTTTGCACTTTTTGCGCTACTTGTTGTTCGGTGCTTGTCGTTCGGGGTTGCTTTGCATGCTTCGGAAGGCCCTCTGGACCCCTGGAAGTCCTGCAAGCCGTAGTTATAAGCACAAGCCTTACACCTTACACCCTAAACCTTCAGCAATACCAAAAAAACCAAAAAAAACAAACAAACCAAAAAAAACAAAAAAAACAAAGATTTCCGCACTAGTCGGAATCCTTCAGACTAGTGCGGAAATCTTTGGTTTTTTTTGGTTTTTTTGGTTTGTTTGGTTTTTTTGGTTTCCGCCACCGCTGACGTGCCCGGACAACCTTCCGCTGTGACTGTTCTTTTGGGTGTAGGGTCTACGTAAACAAGACTACTCTCTAATCTATCTTGTAATAAGCAGTCCGGCTGCTTATGATTCCACGCAGGCTTTCTGCTTATAAGCAATCCGGCTGCTTAGAAGCAGGCTGTCTGCTTATAAGCAATCCGGCTGCTTATAAGCAGGCTGTCTGCTTACAAGCAGGCCGGTTGCGGCCTTCTGCTTATTGGCCCTGCTTCTGCTTATAAGCAATATCCTGTTGTTTACAGGCACTCGGGGGCCGTATGAGTAGCTATTCTAACCCCACCCACGCGTGCGCCAGACACCAACCAAGACGGAGAACACGAGAACCCACACCAATTGCACAAACATTACCGTAAATTTGATATCCTGACCTGTTGCATGTTTGATATGGAAAAACATGCCAAGCTTATTTAGCATACCACACGACCTGAATTTGTTATTATTTCCGGTTTCATGGTGTGTGCTAAGAATTCAATGGACCAAGCACCATGTAAACCATAGGGATATATCAAGGGGAATCGCGAGGATGGAAGGCATCCAGATGGGCCTCGACCATAAGGAATCGTGGAGACTTATCTCTTGAACACGTGGTCATATACTGCCACACCATGTCATAGAATAGATACCAGGTGCTAGAAAGTCCCTTCTACACGTGGACTTTGCCTTTTTATACACACAAATATTGCAGACGCACATGTAGATAAGTTATCTGACCATATTCCATCTATCTATCTGCCTATCCATGTATCTATCCACCTATCTATTTGTCTACCCATCCATCTGTACATTCATATACATACTGGTCTCAGCATGGATGATGTCACCGACCTCTTAACCTGGCAACTTAGAGATATTGTAGAACCCTGATACAATCTATGACAGGATATGTTATGGCACCGCACAAGAGACAAAGCACACGTGTACAGTGTATATGTTTTCGCCGATTTGCAGAAATACCGTCTTGACACGGTCACATTAGCTGTGCGTTGTTGTGGGGCCCATTATAGCAAGTCATTGCGGCTGTTTTGAGATATTGCAATAAACATTGAACTGAGTACTCACACGCCACAGCCTTCAACGAGTCAAGACATAGGGGAATCAGAACACGGAAAGTCGGTTCTGCCCCCGAGAGTACCGGCTGTTAAAGTTGTAGAATACGCTGGAACGATGTATGAAGTAATTACTCATGTTTAATACTTCATGTCATTTCGCTTACAAGCGCTGGCGTATCTGCCGTGCACTTCGTATTGAGGCAGTAGAGCGTACCATGGTAGTGCAAACACAGAAGCAGTGCATGCATAGGCTTGTGAGTGTATGTATCCCTGTATGACTTAACGAAGGCATGCCCGGGTTTCTGTGTGCATCGTTAGTTACAGCGCCATAAAACCAGATGTGTATAATATGTGTTCCCCTACTGGCAGCAATATATACAGTTTTGCGATAGTCATTGGGGTTGCGGATAGGTCTGAGACGACACAGAAGCAAGTCGTACTGACATGCTGAAATACTACAGTGCAGACTCAACTGCGTAGTACTCTCGCAAACAGACAGACCTTCTCTGCACCTTAGATTACCGGGTGTTAACGTGGTAGGTTAACGTGTTAAAACAAGCTGGAATGATACATGAGACAACTACTTAAATGATTCTTTCATTTCGCTTGGAAGCAGCTGAAGCAGCTTAGTGGATTGTGGTGGTAGAGCATTCCACGGTAGTGCAAATATACAAAAACACATGTACGGGCTTTTGAGTTTATGCTTGCGTGCATGTGTATCTGTAAGAACAAACATGCCTGCGCATTCACGTATATATACATGCACATACGTACTGCATAATGTTACTTTTGTGAACATTAGCATGCGTAAATGCATGCGTGCATAGTACAATTCTATATGAGACCAAGAAACACAGTACTCAAAAAACCCAGGCCCCATGGCAGGCCGCTCTCTTAGGATTTGTGGTTGAGGACGAATGTGGTTTAGGGTGATTCTCGATGCGAATATCAAGGTGCCAAGTTTTAGAAGTGTTTCTAAGGTTTGTGTTTTGTCGTTTCTTACCCCTTCCTCCTGCTGATAGACGAACTCCCGCCAAGCTGATCTTGTCCATACGCAGTATTGCCATGTCCCGAAAGCTTCTACTTAGGTACCTGAGCCCCAAGTGGCATTACTGTGTTGATAGCTGGAAGCAGAGGGTTTGTATTTACTGCTGTCCTTACGCCAAGTACTCCTTATTTTCGGACTTTTGCAGTCTTCTCAGGTACCTACAGGCGCGAGATAGAGTGCCTGGACCCTTGTGCTAGCATCCTCGTTCGAATCACTTACAGTCTCCCTCCAACCTAGGACCTATATTTCTTACAGCTTGCATGTTAATTAAGGGCTTTGGGACATTCTAGATTTTCCCTTATTGGGCTTAAGAGGATCTTTTTTTACTAATATTTTTCAACGGCTTTAAAAGCCCTACCTAGCAAGACTGATAAGAGGCAGTGTTTGTTGATCCGGTTCCGACGTATAACTCCAGGCCCTGATAACTCCAAACCTTGAGCTCCAAACCCAACCTTGGGATCCGAAAACCCTACCGTTTTAAGGCTTTAAGGGTTCTACCCTCTAATTAAGGGGTCATAACCTACTATTTTGTAGGGTTTGGGGATACAGGAATAAGTTCTACACCTGCTAAACCTTGACCCTGTGCCTTCATGGCCAAACCTGGATGCCTAATCCCCAAACCCACGAAACCCTAAACTTCCTCGACCACCAAGGCCGTACCCATACATCCTAAGCTCTCGAGTCTATACCTCAAGCCTAGACCCCGGATCCTCACTCCAGCCTAAACTCTAAATCCTGGACCCTAAACCCGAAAACCGTCTTCTGCGGAGACAGGGCGCTACAGTGCACAAAAAAAAACATCAAACCCTAAAAGTATCCTAAACCCTAAACCAAACCCTATAAACCCTAATCCCAGACCCTGAACGCTAAAAGTCTTGTCCAAGCAGTTCAAGCAGGTGCGTGCCGGACGCCGGGGTCGCGCTGCAGGCGATGACCGGCTTTCAGGAGCTGGACGCAGCTAAGAGGGTTTAGGGTTTAGGATTTAGGGTTTGAGGTCTTTGGGTACATAGGGGCCTGATGGGTTTTGTTAATTCAAGGCCTTTATAAGGGGTTTATGCTGTGTCTTTTGGGTTTGGTATTCATGATTTAGGGTGTTGGGTCGTGGGGTACATACGGCAACAAAAGTTCTGGGGGCAAGAAACAGGTCAACGCCATCATCCAAAGAAGTACCGATGATAGCAGCAGCAATGAACATGTTAAAACCGTAATGACGAAAGCTCATTTTAAACACTGTTGGGAGTTGTCTACTCTACTGGAACAAAACCGCCCTATCAAACTCTGAAATGGCATCCGAAACACAACTCTGCACTGCGAGAAGAGCCGTGTTAAGGCCGCAGTGGCCGTTGAGCCCAGCAAAGCCGGTACTGCGGAGGACCTTGCAAGGATCGGCGCCTACTTCGACAACGTCGAGTTGGTAAGCAGCCTTGTCCCCTCCCAAGAGGGCTTTAGTGTACGACGGCGGGTTGATGCGAAGGCTCGTCCTCAGCAGTCCTGGCTGTCCATTGGGTTATTGCTTCTCGGTCCCTACAGTATGGAAGAAGCCTGAAATCCGGAAACTCCCAGTCTTTGCCAAGCGGGATTCCGGTAGATGTTTTTCTCAAGCTGCTATGCGCGGCCCCTGTCAATGTCGCATCAACATGGGACCGGGATCTCCGCCGAATCGCAGGGCCAGGGAACGCAACTTAACCAGACCTTACGGTTGGACCCTAAACCCCAGGGAGAGCTGCTGCTGTCCAGCAAGCATAGAGGCTGGTGGTAGTCGTCGTCGTACACAGCAGTAGCGTTATGACGGCACCCTTCACACATCGGCATTGTTTTTTCCTTCGCTTCTCTGAGTGGCACATCCTTACACTGCCAGAACTCAAGGCTCCATAGTAATCGCGCCTTGACTGTAAATCTCTACGAGCCCTAGGAGGTCAAGCTGGTCTCAGATGATCAGTTACTGGGAATCGCTGATTGAAATCAGTATAGACATTCTTGAAAAGGTACAGCCATTCTTTAAAATTTCAAACCCACAGACAAATGTCCGACTCCTAACTTCGGAAGCCCGGTGCCTGAGGTGCGAAGTATCCTCTCGAGCTGCGCGGGGGCTGCTGCTTTTTCAGGTAAGTCCGGTAAGTTCGGGGTTCAGGGTTTATTGACGGTATGGTTCCGGGTTTTCGATTTGTTTTGTGGGTGGGCGTTTAGGGTTTGTAAGGGTTTCGATTAAAGCTTCTATAAAGGGTTCTGTAAGGTATTCGACAGGGTTCTTCCCAAAGCCCTGGCAGGGTTTGGGGCTTCAGAGCCCAGGGTTTATGAGAAAACTTAAAACTGAACGCAAGTCACCGAAATCCCACAGTTCAATGCTGGACAGACCCTCCACTTGGAGGTTCATGGGTAGTTATAAGTGGGTTATAAGTCCCCTAATATGGGTTATAAGCAACCCATATATACCCATGAACCTCCAAGCGCCGATTATCAATCTCTTCTTCGATGCTCGCTTCAGGCGACACTCCCACTCTGGTCAACCCCAGTTCGCAATCACGGCTGCCCTTTGGATACACTGCGCTGCACCGGATATATACTATCAAAACAATTACCGCAAATAAGCGGAATGGACATGCCTTTCTGACGTAGAACTTAGATTTAGGTCATAAGAGTTTTCCACTGTGGAGTTCAGAAAGGAAGTCCAAGCCTAAATATACACAATAGCGTGCAGGGTCTTGGGATCTGCCCCTTCGTTCCCGCAGGCGGTGCCGTGACCGTCCGATGTCAGATCGCCCTTGGCGCCTCCGAAAAGTGCGTCGGGCAGCCCGGGCATTCAGGCTTTCCTTTGGCCAGACCTTCTACGTAAGGGCGCGTTTCGATCAAGTGCTGTTATCACTGAGGTGGGCCACTTCGCCTCGCTCTTTCGCGAGGCCAGGCGATTCTGGATGACGTTGCTGTTTCAATAGTGGCAATTCTGCCGTGTAAGACCTTTGCCGCCCTACCACAATCACCAAAGGAACATTCGACGAACAAAGGCTAAGGAGAAGAAGCCGGACCTTGTTTGCCGGTATGTTTTTGCTTGCACCGCAGTCGGCTTCGGGTTGCAGCACGAGCCATTGTACGCAATCGCTTCCAGAGACTCAGGACAGCTTGCTTATGGTTGTTTTATTTAATCTTCCTGTTGTTGTGTTCTTTGTGCAGGCAGAGTGGCGGGGTGCACTCGACGTCATGCTGCAGCTGTCCTCAGCTCAGATGCAGCAGCAGCAACTGTCGTGACCGCTCCTGGAGGCTGTATGGAGTTCTGATGAACGGTGGTATGGGAGTTTACAGATAGGGGCTAGATCATTTCTTTGACCCTTAGATGGAGTAATGCTGGTTTCAAGAGACACCCAGCCGTGCTGCATTATGTAGAGTTGCAACAGCTCAAACCCTTCAGCCGACTTTGTGGAATATTATCTGATTATCTTGCATGCTCGCTGAGGATTCAGGCTTCAAGCAGGTTGTGGAAAATGAACTTCCGAACACGCAAGCCTTGTATCGACGATACTGCTGTCCTTTTTGCTACTCTGTTGTAGTTTTGTAAATCTTGGCGGCCTCAACCCTAAACCCAAAAACCCTCCCGACGCGAACTCCTGAACCCCAAGCCCACAAACTCTGCAACTGTGAACCCCGAGCCCCTCTGCACCTGAGCTCGCTTGTCACTGAGGTGGGCCATGGATCTACTGCCGCCACCTGAGGCTGTAAAAGATGGTCGCACACGGGGTTTGGGGGTTTGCTGTCTCTACAGGAGTGTACGCACATCAAAGAGTGACATATGGGAGTTTTCCTCCATTAGGGGTACGTACCTTATTTGGGGTCCTTCTAATAAGGATCCTACTGTTTAGTGTACTATATTAGGGTCCCGTAAGTGATTGATTCCTTTAGGTGTGGCTTCAGGGGTTTCCGTTTCGTGTTTACGCCAGAACATCCGGCAACCTTGTCCAGGGCCCTTGACAAAGCCTCTTAGACGTTGGAGCCGAAACCACCCTGATTCCTTAAACCGTGAATCTTGCACAATGGGACATAACCCGAGGCAAATTTCGTCTGGAATCTCCCGTAGCTAGGCTTATACACAGTCAGTTAAGGCGCTTCTATATACACGAATTTTCTTTTGAGCGTTCGAAGCTGTGGTTTGGGACCGAATTATTGTCTTTTGTCTCCTTTTTTACCATACGTATCAACCCTCAAAGGGGTTCTCATCCATATTGATTTAATTTGCTTTGGGTGCTTGCCTGGACCCGAATGAACCTTTTTTTTAGGGTTCCCTTACTTGACTTCTTGATATAGGTCCCTAACAAAGTAGGTTATTTGGGGTTAAGGTATCGCCTAAGCAACCAGAAGCCCAGGCCCAGCCATCTGTCTGAGTTTGACGACTTCTCGGGCACGGACGGGAAGCCCCTGGAGAGCCTCTGCAATATCAGGCCGCTACTATAAACTGTAGGGGATTCAAGAATTACCTATACTATTTTGGGGGCTCCTTGTTATAAATACACAGTATACTGGTACTACTACTACTACTACTACTACTACCACTGAAAGGGGTGAGGGCTGGGATTCTCAGCTCCTCAGCTTTCTGCTCCATGTCCCGCTATAATTCCAAGCTCCCAAAAAGGGCCCCTTGAGAGTCCCAATCATCCTTCAAGTCTCTGACGCAATTCCTTAAACCCGACGGATGCAGAACCTTCGATCTTGCTTTAAACCGTGTTACAAGCAGCCACGAACCTACGCCCACGTATGCAGAATGTTCCCGACACCATGTCTAATACTCTCCCGACAGATGTTTCATGAAACTTCGTCCAAAAGCCGCATGTAGACATGCAGCCTCGCGTTTGCCACAGTCACCTGCTCCGGCGGGGTCTGCATCAGAACCGTGCAGGTGGCTGCCATGAACATACGAGACCGCAGGAGTCAATATGCAGGATGATACCCTAAACCCTAAACCGTGCCTGAATTGGCCGAGGTCGCGAAGATAAAGGGTCAGGCGACTTATGGGGGATGGTACCTGGAAAAGGATGGAATAGTTGGGTTACTACGAACAGAGATGCCTGAAAAACGAAGGCTGGTGGAGGGTGCAGAGTTGTAGCAGACTTTGTGCATCTCAGTGTCGTCCAGTAGTGCTAGTTTCGGCAAACATATGCGAATTATGACTGTGCACGATTCGACACAGAACGAAGAGCTCCTCCGTCGCAAGGTTGCAGCAGAAGGGAGCAGAGTGAGGAGTGAGTCTGAGGCGTCCAGCCAGGTGTACAGTTTAGATGATCAGGATGCTAGGGCATGATTAGCTAGGATGTGTACATGTCCCTGAACACCTTGAAAGCCCAACGCTCAACCCCAAACCCTACATCCTGAACCCGAAACTTTACCCATAGGCCCCAAAGTATTTCTTCTTTTGTGGTGCATATATAGATCGATTTCTATAAGGTAATCCCAAAAAGGAACTAATATTGGGCCGTGGGTACTTTACACTATACAGCCTCTTGAGCCGCTCAACCGCCGTTCAAGCTTCCACTGCCGGAGGCCGCTATTTCCTCCCCCGGCAGTGCGGCAAGATAATGCCAGGGCCTCAATACCGAAGTTATGGGGCTCGGGATTGTAGGGTTCGGGTCAAGGGTTTTTGGGCTCAGGGGGCAGGGGTGGAAGTTAAAGGCTCCTGGCTTCGCAAGCCTCCTCAAACCATTGTAGAGGATCAGGCGAAGTGGCAAGTAAGTTTTTGTTTAGTGCCAAGGCTGTGAGAACTTGTAGTATTTACTTGAAACTGTGATTATAATCGGTTGCGACGGTTGTTTTTGCAAGACAATACTTAGATGATTACGTGCTTTGATCCTCCAAGCCGAGAAAACCCTGTGCCCCGCACCGGATACGCTCAATGCTTACAGCCAGACAGGGTCTCACAATATTGAGCCTAATCGTGGAGCGACCATGAAGGCACCATCCCCGCAGAACTAAAGGTAGACACTGAACATCTGCTGCGAATGCACCCTTGGAGTATCGAATCCTGTAGAGCCCGACATGTTCTCAACACCCGAACTCAGGGCTCCCTTTTGGTTTAGTCCCCGCATATTCAAACCAAGCAGCCATGGGCCCTACACCCTCAATTCGTCAATCCTGCAAACGGTCAAGCGAAACTCTACATCCCCTACTGTAAGTCGCAAACTCTACGTGAAATCCTATGTGTTTCATAGACCCTGCAACAGACTCCCAAACCCTACCTATAGTCTCCATTATATTTCGTTGACCAGTTTTATGGTTAGGATCCTATACTTTAAATTTGGTTAACCCAAAAAAGGAGCTACAATGGAGACTATAGGTAAGCACTCTTCGAAGCCTGAAGCCGACCAAGGATCCTTCCCACCATGCCGGGGATGCGCGGCGCTCCGATGCGAAGGAACGAATGGGCTGAGATTCGCTTGGGAGTGGTGGGAAGTTTCCTACGAGTACGGTTGTTTCCAAGGTGTATGGCTCGCGCTTCAAGACAGTCAGTTCAGCGTTTGGGTGAGTTAACGGTTTTCAGTTTCGAGTTGGTGCAGAACTTCAGGTTGTCTGCGTCTTCTCTGCGTCTGAGTGTTCGTTGCGAGTTTTGCAGGATGTACGTACTTTTGGCCGACCTGATTACCAATGCTATTTTGCGTGTGCCGTGTTTCAAGTATAGTATAATCGGCCCCAAATCCGTATTCTAATTTCATGATGAAGGCCCCGATATTAGATCACGCTTCACTCCCAAACTTAGAGGGTTTTGGGATCTAGGATCCTAGGCTTGTGACGGTACCTTGTGTATCCCGGTGCTTCCTCCCCTGCCCACATGGTGGAACCGTAGAGCCTTCGACCCCAAACTTCCTAAGCCTTAAGCCTGAAAAGCCCTCAACCCTACGGCCTACACATAAGCCATAGGCTCCATAGTAGTTCCTTTTTAGGATTACCTTATAGGATTCTCAATATGATCCCCTAAAAGGAACTACTATGGAGCCTCTAGGTAATTACTCCTTGCTTAAACCTGAGCCCAAGCCTTACGTACGAACCATCAAAGCAAAATTCTGTGGCCCAGAAGCCCGCAGCTTCATGTCAGGCAGCTGCCGCCGACTCTGGAGACGGCTTCCTGGAGAGAGCGGGGCTCAGCGAGATCGAGTGCCCTTGATTCAGCTACCAGAGGGTGTAGGCTTTAAGGAAGCAGAGTAGCGTCTCACGGTCTAACTCGGGAAGCAAGAGAGGTTCGGGGCGTGTCGGAGCCGCTTTAAGGGGCTTAAAACCTGTTCGTGAGGGACGCACACGTGGACCAAGTGTGCTGCGATTCGAGGTTTGAGGCCCTTCGCATTCTCTGTGCTCTTGAAAGAAGGAGGATGTGGGTTAGGGTTTTGGGGCTCGAAATATCGACTGTTGGAGTCTGAACGCAAGAGTGAGAAGTGTTTCGTTACGGATATTCACACGCAGTTCATATGCGATAAGACACGCGAGAAACCCAGGGCATAAGTGCAATAAGATAAGTGTTTAGAGCAGAAATGTAGTCATGAACGACTCAGCTAGCACACACCTTGGCAAACAAGCAACAAGCATCTAACTAGTTACTCGTATCTAATGAGCGAACAAACGAACGAACGATTATGGATGGATTTAGACTCGTAGACGGATGCATGCATGCATGCATGTGTACATGCACACACCGACATACGTACATATGTACATGCAAGACATATAACAAACGTGCATGCATGCACACAGACCAGTCAATAAATAGAATAGAGAATAGTCGGAAATCCCGCAGGTCTGGCACGGTGGTTTGAGGACGAGACACGGGACGACGAGGAGGAAGAGGCTCGGTGTCGTTTGGGGTCTTGCACTTCTTGAACTTTTCGGATTGAGGTGCAGTTTAGGATCAAGGGTTTCTTTGTTGGCTGGTCGGTGCCAAATGATTCGTGGGCGCAATGTTCAGGGTTTCGGGGTTCAGATTCGTGGGTCGTAGCAGCAGTTGGATGCACCTGGCCCTTAATACTTGATATTCAGGCTCCACAGGGTCCAACAGAGGGCACATGGAAGGTATGACGTATGGTTCTGTGGGCGAATGGGATCCGGGCAGCGCGCCTCGGACACCACAACCGTCCAAGGAAGCATGGCTGGAACTTTGTTACAGCGAGGACGGTTTTGCTATTACTCAGCTCGTTTATTTGTCCCGGCCGGGGCAAGGTTCCACGGGTTTTGGATGACGATGAAGGAGAGAGCTCGAATGCGGGATTTGGGGCTTCTGTGGGTTGGCCGGGATTGCGCAAATGTCATGTGGAGTTGCTCGCATCTTCTGTCGGTCAGGCGAGCGACGGCACGGAGCTCAGCATCTCTGACCCGTGGTTTCCCCGGAAGATAGTTTATCTATATCTGTATCTATCTGTCTATCTACTTATGTGTTTGTCTATTTGTCTGTAAGTATTTCTTACATATGTCTAATTATCGCTTAATTATCTCTAATAATCTCTGATGATCTAATTTTAATTTTCTATCTATCTACCTACCTGCCTTATATCTACCTATGAATCTGTCTGGGTGTGTCTCTTTGTGTGTATAAACATACATATATGTACAGATATTAGAGACATATATAGGTACTATGTGTTCAGCAACGTACAACAGAGACTCTAAAGCTCAAGCCACACCCCCCCTTAAGCCACGGCAGAGAGTTTCCGAAGAGGGGCCTAGATCGAGTCTTGACCCAAAATAGTGAGGACGCTTGCTACCAAGAAGCCCTCACATCCCCGCTTTGCCAAGGCAGGCTGAAGGATGACTTGATCGGCACGCACTTCGGCGCCAGACCGGGTGGCGGCGACCCGAGATTGAGATACTGTGAGCTTACCATCATTGCTGTTTGCGCATGTTTTGGGTGGGTTTATCATTATTCCTACCATTTCTAGAAAAGTAGATACAGCCCTGCAGACGGTCGGAGCGCTCCTGCTTGGAAAAGCCAGTGTCCGAAGTTCAAGCTAATCCACGACCCGACGCCTTTTCAAGGAGACGACCTCGCCAGCGAGACAGGATCCCTCAACCAAGAGCTATAAACCCTCAACCTCAAGCCGCATCCCCTATACCCGAACGGCCCTCCAGACGCAACATCAGATCTTCGAAGAATGATTTTCCAGGCGACGCCAGCGATGCCGAGGTGGAGGCTGATGATGGCTGAAAGTTTCAGGGCACAGAGGCTTTTTGGAGCGGGATCATATGGTGTAGATGCCAAAGCTTTAGACTTTAGGTCATTAGCCTTGTCCATAGGATCTGTTGGGTTTGAAGGTTTGAGGGAGTACGCACTCTGCGTTAAGGCATTAGAGGTTGGGTGGGGATTAGGGTTCCGCAGTTCAAGGCTGTAGCAAAGATTGCACGTGTGCTTGCCGTGCTTCACAAATGCGTGATGCCATGCAAGCATGACCACTGCAAGATACAATCCAAAGTGCTCGACATGTGCTTCTGATATTCCGTGACGCTTGCAAGAGGCGCTGCCAGTGAACTGTACAGACCCTGGCTTGGTCCACCAGAAGGCACTCCGAATTTCGGGATTTGCGGCTGGGTTTCTGGGCTTTGCAGACTACGAGTATGTAAAGCGGTTGTGGATGTGCTGTCCGAATTTACCGTCATTCGCTTGGTTTCCCAACTCTGTAAAATCGCCGAAGATGGGTATCAATACGCATGGCGTGGTCAAAGTTCATGCAAGCTCATGAGCGTAGCTGCTGGTGGCCGTAAACGTAGTAGTTGGAGAAGTGGGGGTGTAGGTCGGATGATCCCGGTGGCAGATCGAGGTGACGGTGGTTGTGGTAGGTAGCCTGGGCAACAGCAATAGTACAAGTGTAAGGACAGAAGTCAGAAGGACGGAGTTTATTTTGGGGTTGGGGGCTGTAAGACAGGTGGGTCTCGAGCTCAGGAACTGCGAAACCCTAAACCTTAAACCTGAACCCTTAGGGTTTAGGATTTAGGGTTTGGGGTCCCTAAATCCCAACCCACTGGTAGCAGACTCTCTAAAGTGGTGTGCAGGTCAAGGCATACGTGGCTCGCTCCGGCTTTGTGGAGCCTCCAGCTCAGCATCCTCGACGGTATAGGGCTTTATACTATAGGGGCGTAAATAGTCTTTACCCATACTATTTTGGGCGTTCCTTACTATAGTTATAATATAATGTGCCTCCAAAGTTGTCCCTTTGTCCCTTTTTGTAGTCCTAGGTTCCTTATAAAGTTAACCAGTACCAAAGAGGGAGCCCTCTTTATTCCTAGGTTATTGGGCATCCTAGTATTTAGTATAGGCACCTTAATGATTGCCTATACTATTGTGGTGGGCTCCTGATTGTTATAGTATAATGGGCCCCAGAATCCTATTCTGATTATTATAGTAATCAGAATAGGATATAAGGCCCCTAAAGGATGCTGGACCTTGTCTTGCCCCGTGCAAGACACCCTGAATCCCACGCTGTGTCGCTGCAGTCGTTTGATTGCTTCTCCCTACACCCCTGAACCCTGAACCTCTCCTTTCCCAGGGTCCTTGGCGCGACGGGCATCGCGAAAGTGTCCCCAGAGAGCCTCCAGTGCCTTGCAAAGGCTGATGGCATGACAGGTTTGGAAGTTCATCGTACGAAAAGGATGTATGTAGGGGAAGGTTTGCGCGTGTAGGGTCGCTACATGACGGGAGTAAGGAGTTCGATGCCAAGAACATGTCACTAGCCACAATTAGCAGCAAAAGCACTCGTCTTTAGATTGCTTGTCTAGACAATGTAGCACGCACCGCAGCAATGGCATTAGTAAATAATAACTAGCAAAATCAACATCACATCGTTATGCCCTGGTATCCAAACACACGCAGAGCTTTCCGTGTAGGATGCACTGCTTGAGGTGTTGGGCTTCATTGTTTGACGTTGTTCCTGCTTGTGTGACAGGTTGAGAGGAGGTTTTTACACAGCAATTACCAGCGATCCCGAGTTCTAAAGCCCCGAGCCCCTTTACAAAGCTGATGCACCGCACCAACCAGCAATGCAGAATGCCACGACATCTACACCCACAGCCACACCTGCGATGACAGCATCAGCAGCAGCAACAACAACAGCAATGACCAACAGCAACCCCCCTCAATCACAACAACGCAACAACAACAACAACAACACTAATAATAAGACGAGCACCAAACACAGGAACAGCAACCACTACTGAATCCACAGAAGCGGATTTCCGGCCCCAGAATTCTCTATGGCATATGGACCAAGCTGCATATATAATCACTATCAGCTATCATGCAATCGCCATCATCATCATCATCATCATCATCACGACCAGCATCGTCGCCATCATTATCATCAACACCACCACCATAATTTAATTTTCAACATCAACATCATCGCCACCACCAGGAACAACAACATCCTCATCATCATCAACATCCTCATCATCATCACCATCATCATAATCATCATCATCGTGATTTTCATCGCTGTCGTCACAGGGGTCATCGTTGTTTTTCATCGCCCCTCTCATCTTCCTCAGCAGCTTCGTCGTCATCGCACCATTCTCATCATCACCATCAACACCTGATACGGCAAAAATCCGCGAAACCTCTGGGTGGTTGTGGTTGTTGAACGAAGTTTTCGTCCAGTAGCAGATCCTAACCGCAATATAATGCAATATAAACCGGGAACGACTGGGAGGCACTCGTGCAGCTCTCCAAGCCGTCCCGATGGGTCTCTCAGGACGGAGAGGGTTTCGGGCACATGCATCTGCATTTGGCGTGCAGTGATTTGTAATTTTCATCTAGGCGGGCCTGCCATGATAGCGGTGGGGGGTGTTATTGAGGAAGCAGCGGCAGAGTGCGTAGTAGTGCCTTGCAACCTCTGCTGCTCGGGCCGCGTGATGTACAGGTTGTGATTTCCGTTGGTGGCCTCGGAGCAGAGGATTAGAGAAAGTGGTATAGTGGTTTCAGACCCAGTAAATGCAGCATGCGGAGAGATGCTAAACGTTCCGACTCGGTGCTCTCAATCTGAGCTGATGTGGATATCGTCACGCTTTTGCCGGAATCGCTCTGTCGGTGCGCAGGCATCGTAGGATGTAGCCATGTAAAACCAAGGATGTTTTCAGTCCTGCCACCCTGTTCTCGCGAGAGGCCTAGGACCCTTGAGGGAGCAATTTGGGAGTTTCCGAAAATTGGGGGTACCTTATTTGGGGGTCCTTATAATAAGGATCCTACTATTTAGGGTGCTATATTAGGGTCCCCTATTTTCGGAAACTCCCATTTCAGAATTTCAATGCAGGGGCAGAGCCCGACAACCGCAGAGCCGGCGGATGAGGTGCAGGTTGCTTTGCTTTGGCTGTGATTTGCATGCCGTGCTGTTGATGACTGCGAGGGCAAGCATGTTTATCGCTGGTTTATTCCTGCATAGAGTCTTCAGCCCTCACCCCCAAGCACTAGCCCCTAGCGTCTCACCCTGAACATCCTTAATCGGAGATCGCGCGGCAAACCGCAAGACCTTGAGCCCAGGGGCAGGTTTCAGTTGGATCTTGAGTCACAGTTGCTGATGCCGTGTCCCGATTTTTACACGCAAGATGCTTTGCTAGCATTAGCATTCATGCTACCGCAGCGACGAAAAAGCCCTCCGGCACAAGTACGGCAGGCCGGCAGAGCTTCTTGGCATGACGTGGCGGATCCCGTGTTCTGCCCCTTGGGCTCTTCAAGCTTTTGCCGACGGGCTTCAGGTTATTTAGGATTTCTTTGAACTTCCGGTTGCTCATGGACTAGAGTTTTGGAGTTATTCTGGGGCCCACTGCGCAGGCACGGGGGGGGGAGGACGCTTGGGGCTGAGAAAGCCTGGGTTTGGGGGACAAGGGGTTTTGAGGAAACTTGCTCTTCGAGGCTTTAGGATTCATCATGCCCTGCCGGTGGACCTCCGAGTTCCTTGCAGGGTTTAGGTTTATGTTTTTCGTTGGGTATATTATACGGTTTAGGGCATAGGGTATATTATAGGTTTTAGGGCATAGAGATATTATAGGTTTTAGGGCATAGGGTATATTATAGGTTTTAGGGCATAGAGATATTATAGGTTTTAGGGCATAGGGTATATTATAGTGTTTAGGGCAATCGTATACAGGGTTGTACGGTTCAGGGTTTACATTTCAGGTACCCCAACAGCAAGCTGCTTGCGATAGGGGCCTTAATAATTACCTATACTATTTTTTGGGCGGGTTCTTATTACAATTATGGCATAATCACCAAACCCTATTCTAATTACTAAGGCCCCTATATCATAGTACCCTTCGAGCAACCCGCATAGGACCCTCTTAAAGGAACCCCTTACAGGAGCCCGCAGAGCCTCTGAGCATGAGCCGAGGCCTGGAGCTTCTTACGAATCTCACCTGCACGCCGCTGCCTGCTAGCCACTGCCTGCTGGAAGACCCAGCCGGTTGAAGCTGAGGGGTTTAGGGTTTAGGGCTAAACCCTAGACTCTGACCCTAAACCCTGAACCCTAAATGCCAAGGTTGCCAAGATTTGGGGACAGTTGTGTTTGGTCTTTGGAGCTGGGTATACTTTGATTGGGAGGTCTGATGCTTATCGTTTGGTTGTAAGTTCCTCCTTAAGCCGAGGGTTCTCCACAAGGTACTACTTTCAACGAGAGAAACTTTCCCTCTACGCTGTGCAATGTTTGATTAGACGGGACAGGCTTGGGGAGGGAGTCATTTTTAGTTTGTTTTTTTGCAAAAGCGGACTTATGATGAGAGGGTTCATGACTCCAAATCCAAAGATCGTAACTGTTACTTCAATATTTCTGAGCTCTACTTCAACTGCGTTGGAGCCCTCTAATATTTCTAAGGTACCCCCAGGTGGAAGCGCCTAGCCCCACAGAAGCGACCATAATATCCAAGATATGAGTATGAGTGACACTGGAATAGGGAACATGGCCTAAGTCTGGTATTGCCCTGCTCAAAAGAAGCCAGGTTCAGAGGGTTCAGGTTTGAGGGCTTCCACCCAGGTCGCACATATGGCCCCTGGTGAGCACTCACTTCGAGAAGCTTCTCCAGGCCGGCAGCGTCCGGGTTTAGGGTTTAGGGCTTCGGATGATTCGGATGCCAAGCAACCGACAACGAGGAAACTCGTAGAAGTTAAGGCTTCAGGACTTGGTCGGCGCCCAAGTTCAGCACCTGTCGGCTGAGCCCTTTTCTCACTGTGCTCCGAAGTACTATAGGGGCCTCAATGTAGCTACACTGGTTTGGGGGATTTCCTTATCATAAATGTAGTATAATAGGCCCCAAAACCCTATTCGAATTAAAAAGGCCGTTATATCACAGAACCTTACTATAGATCCCTTATAGACTGTTTTAAGGAACCCCTTAAAGGAACCCTATTCTAATTATTGAGGCCCCTATATTAGGTCAGGCCGAGCTGGCACATAGCAGCAGGCTGCCTATTACGAAGCTTCTAGCCAAGAGGCAACAAGAGAACACTGAGAATTCTACGCATGTCGATAGGGCCGATAGGGGACCTCCAAAGCCCTGGCGTGAATTCACCCATGGAGTTTGCGAATTTTTCGGAACACACCCGAAATTGATAAAGGCTTCATAAGAAGCTTGAAGAAGTCTCCCATCCCGTCAAAGTCACCAAGCCCAGCGCGATCATCAGCAAACTTACATGATTCCTCCACACTGTTTGCCCTGCTCTTGACCACGAGCGATCAAAAGGTACGGTTGAAGTTACATCAACCCCACAAAACCCAAACCACTGCCGCAGTACGTCATTGCGGGCAACGGCCTGTCGGAGATGCAGTTTATTGAGCGGCTCATTGTGAACACCCTGAGGCCTCCCCTGCGCTGTCGAAACTTATGTTGAATTTCAATTAGACAGATTTGGGGTCTTTCGCTCCTCTGTTTAGGTTTAGGGTTTCAAGTTCCGCATTGATTAAACTTCATATGTTTATAGCCGACGGCCGAGGTCTAGATAGGGCTAGTGTTGGGTTTTGGTAGACGGTGTGCGAACAGTTTGCTGCAGCCTGCCTACAGCAGCACCCATCTGACGGGAACTGACACTGATCAGTGCCCTCGACGTCGTCAATGCGACTCTGCCATGAACTTCGGGTCAAGCTGGGTTAAGGATCGAAGGTCCAGGTCTTGATAGGACTCCACATCTGCAGTTTCGGCATATTAGGGTCGGGGAAATTTAGGGCTTAGTGTGCGTAGGACTTGACGATGACAGGACTCAGTGTGTACGGCCTGCCAGCGCCTTTACCACTAGGGCTTTCCAGCTTATCGAGCCCAAAGACCCCAATGCTGTAGCAAAGAGCGACTTTCCTGACCTTGAGCAACCTTCTTGATCTTGGAATAGGAATCTTCAACTTTGGGAAACGCACACTGTTCTCGGCAACAGGCTGTGCATTCGGCTGATCGGCAACAGCGAGTTGGTCCCCACGCTGCTGCTACTCACACAGTCGCTTGGCTTCTGCGGATTCTTTCTCAGATCTGTTGATGCATGTTTAGCGAGTATGGTGTAGGTATGACACTAAGACCTGCGCATATGTGCGCACGCATGTCTTGCTGATTGATTGTGTAACTGTTGGATGTCATTGTGCAATTTCGAACACATTTGCGGTAAGTGCGTATGTTAGGCCACGTATGTCCAAAAGATAGGCATTGCATGCATGCAGGCCAATCGCTTATGTAACACGCTATCCTGTCATGTCTTGCGTTGGAACGTAATGTGATGTGTTTCGATGCACTGTAGTGCAGTAAAGTGTCATCTAATGTAATGTATGCAATCAACACAATGCCAATTGTAATTGTGCGTGTGTGTGTGTGTGTGTGTGTGTGAGTGTATGTATGCACGCATGCATGCACGGGGGTAGGGAGGCGGGTAGGTGAGTAGGTAGGTAGGTAGATAGGTAGGCAAGTGGGGAGTTACGAGCTAGGTGTTCATGTAGGTATGTATGTATGTATGTATGTATGCATGTACATCTGTATGGTTGCGTGCATGTATGGATGGATGGATGGATGGATGGATGGATGGATGGATCGATGGATCGATGGATGGATCGGTGGAGGGGTGGATGTATGTATGTATGGATGCATGGATGCATGGATGTATGCATGGATGTATGCATGTACGTATGTACGTATGTATGTATGTATGTATATGTGCTACTGTGCGTGCAGAAGACACCGACTCGCGTTTGAGATAGATGCATGTATCTCGTTTTGGCCAACGACGCGAAGCTCGTGAGGTATGTAAGGTACAAGACACTGACTGGCACACAAAACATTCATAATCGTGTATAGTAGGGAAGGTATGCAAGTGAACACGTGTTCGTGTGTGAGTGTTGGTTCTCCCCCAGATTTCCCACTTGCACGTTCCAGAAACAGACGCCGTTCAAGCATGAACGTACTCTCTTATGTGCATATTAGTATGTCCGCATGTCAGCACGCGCACAGGCAGATGCCACATGCACTGTTAAGTTCAAATGCTAGTACGAGATCGTTTGAGGCATTTGTCCAGACTGCCTGCCCAACATTTTGCAGCCCATGCGGAAAGGCTCGCCGTGCTGAAGCACGTTGTTTTGGGGTCTAAGTGAGGCTTCGACAGTTTTTTGGTTGATGAAAGCAAGGCCTTAGCAAGCATGCTGGTAGGACTATGAAAGGATTGGGGTTCAATCAGGTTTGGGTTTGAGGATTAGGGCTTTGAGAGGCGTGCGCTTGAGTACTGGTATTGCAAAGGGTCATATTGGAGTCCAACGTACACACTGCGCTCATTAGTAACCCCAAGCCTGTGCAAGATCCCTAGAAAGCCTGATGGCGCGGCTTTTCTGATGACTGCGAAGTCAACGTTGCAAAAGAAATGTCGACCCTTACTTCGTATGCGATTCAATCTCTAAACTGTGCTTGAACTTTGGGCCAGGATCGCATGTGGGACTCTGGTCCTCGTACAGGAGGCCAATCTCCCTCACAGCCTGGACCCTGGACTGGCAAGGTTTCGTATTTTGATTGCGGAATAAAATGCTGCCTGTAGGCTAAATTATGCAAACATAAGAACACGAACATCATTCAGCATTCCAAGGACGATGCCGGCCTCTGGGAACAATTGCCATGGCCACGGCAACACCACACTACAACCCACCACCGCCGCCGCCACCACCACCAACATCACCACCACAACAGCAGCAAAACAATGCAAATTGCAACAGCAACAACACCAACACCAAAAAAGTAACAACAGCGACTGCAACAACGACAGCGACAGCAGCATCATCAGCAGCAGCAACAGCCAAAGCTACAACAGCGGCAACAACAGCAACACCACCACCGCTACCACCAAGAACATCAAGAAACACACCCACAATCACTGCGACTACCACTGCTGCCGCTGCTGCTGTTGCTTCTGCTTCTCCTCCTACTACTCCTACTACTACTACTACGACTACTACTACTCAGCCGAGTCCCAATCAATCAGACACTTCGAGTCATCAAACCCCAGCCACGCCGGAACCGGTTTTCTCCTAACAGCTACGGAGTCGATGAATGGCAACGGGAAGCCCTGAAGCGGTTTTGGTTTCGCTAGTTTCCTGTTTCAGGTTTAACTTAACAGTTTAACGACTCCAGAGTTCAAGGGTGGTTGACTTAGGCTTTGTACTTTGATGGCTTGTCTCTAGGTTTGGGCTCCAGCTTCCGGGCGACGCTTTTGCTTAGAGGTTCATCGGGCCAGATTCCCGAAAACCTGTGCTTCTGCAGAGGTGAACCTGAGGCATTGGACATTGGAGAGCCGCCCTAAACCCGAAACCTCAAATCCCAAACTCCCTGGCCCTAAACCTGACACCTTAAATCTCTAAACTCCAGACTCCAAGCCCTGAACCCCTGCACCCGAAAGGCCGGACAGCCCCCATCATTAATTAGTCCTTCGGTTGATGATATAAATCCTGCATTACCCATAAAAAGGAATATACCATAATTACCATAGTTTGGGGTCCTTAAGGTAATGCAGGATTTATACCATCAACCGTTGCTTCTCGTCGCTTGCGAGGCGGTCTCTGCAACATCTTCACCCTGCATCGCCGGCGAAGATTGAACAGTTTAGGGTTTAGGGTTACCCTAAACCCTAAACCCTAGGTAGGGTCTGGCAGCTTCCTTATCCAAGCCTGCCGTAAAAAGCAGTCACGAAATCAACCAGCAAGCATGCGAGCAAGCAGGCAACGGAGCAACCAATCAATCGATCAAGGAATCAACCAGTATCAGTAGTCAATCCTTCCTTTTTGCCTTGATTGCTTCATTACTTCATTCATTACTCCATAGTTATTTAGTTTCATTCATTAATTCATTCATTCATAAGTTCATAAGTTCATAAATTCATTCATGCTGCATTCATTGATTCATTCTCTATGCCACTCGTTCAATGTTTCTTTCTTCCATCCATTCATTCTGTTATCTACTCATGCATTCCTTCATTCGTTCATTCATTCATTCCTTCATGCATGCGTTCAAGCATTCGTTCGTTCATTAATGCTTGCACCCATTGTTGCCTTCATTCATGCACTCATTCATCCATTTCTTCCTTCACTCGTTCATTCATTCTTTCATTCATTCATTGATTAATTCATTGATTCATTCATTCACTCACTCATTCATTCATTCATTCATACTCCAGGATGGTTGCCCTAGTCGCGGTGTGTATTGTTTCGGCAGCTACATGTGGTTGTGTATACTTATATGTAAGTAGACGTCTCCATGCAGACATGCCGGTGTTTCGGCCAGACGTCGCTTGTAGTGGCCATCGGATTGTGTGAACCCACCATGAAAACGCATCATATTTGTTATTGTTGTCGGCTTCATCACCATCACCAGTGCCATCAGCAAGGCCGGCACCAGGACCTTGTTGACGATGCTATACAGGAGTCGTCCTGGTGGCCCTCGTCCCTGTAGTCATGCCGCAATATCGCCCCTGACATAACACCAAAACCGAACTCAGAGTACAAATGCCCCCATCTTAGACTCCTGACGTTTGTGCGCTTCCGCCAGGCTGAGACGGATTTCCGAATTTCCTGCAGGCTGGCTTGGATTATGGTACAACAGTAATCAAGATAGCAGCAATAATAGTCATTCCGATACTTGATATGATAGCCATAGTCAGAGTAATACCGACATTCACTGAATCAGTGTTAGAAGTCGTAGAATAGTATGCTTGTGCCGGGGTCAATGGTGCAGTAGAGGTATACACATAATTTCGGTTACTTTTACAGCACAGTATCTAATCATACGGGCACCGTCTCATTATTCGTTCTGCAGCGAATAGGTTTATGCAGTTTTGCATGTGGGGAGCGGTGGTACCGGTACCATTATATGGCGCTGTCACTGGTGATTTATATACAGTCGTATGGTCAGACTTCGTGTTCAATTGATTGGCTTGCCTGATACACCTGTGGGGGTGACCGGTATGACTCCAATCCTCAACATTCGTTTCCCCATGTTGCTCCTCCTAGTACTGTAGGAATCCGGTGATGATACTGCATGCCTGTCGTTGCTACAGGGGCCGCAGCTCGCCAACCGGAGAAGCTCCAGCTAGAAGTTATGTTAAGCCACGAGCTACGGACAGGAATTTGAATCAAGCCGCATTGTTACATGGTCTGCTTGAAGCACAAACTCCTTCTTCCCCACGACGGCGACTGCAACGCCCAAGTTGCTAAAGCAGGGGCTCTCATCAATACGCTTTCTCGTCGAAGGTGTGGGCGCATGCAGTGCGAGCATCGAGTGCCTCAACTTCTGGCTGAGCGACGACCAGGTGGGTGGTGTGTCTTTAACAACAACAACTTCGGCCGCGCGGCTGCAACTGCAATTACAAAACCTGATAACCACAATTCAGGTACTATACGGGCCTTAATAATTATCTATACTATTTTGGATATAACTACAGTATAATGGGCTCCAAAACCCTATTCTAATTCTTAAGGTCCCTGTATTACCCACGCCAACATCTGCAGGCATCTCTGGTAGTGTAATCTTCGTACTGTGTTGGTATTCATGGTTGAGTGCTCCCTCTTGTGGGGGTAGGGGCGTTTTTGTCTACATAATGTAGACACATATATGTGGGTTTCCGAAAGTAGGGGTCAGTAGGATCCTTATTATAAGGACCCCAAAATAAGGTACCCCTTATTTTCGGAAACTCCCATATGGCGCATGTAGGGTCTTGGGATTGGTTGGGTCCAGGGCTTGGGGCGCCAAGCAGTGAAGTGATCAAAGCGTCACCACGCATGCCCGCTCGGAAAGTTAGACCTGCCTATTATAAATGTAGTATAATGGACCCAGCCCTATTCTAGTTATTGAGGCCACTAAAGTATGTACCAGTTTAGCAGAGAACCAAAATCCTTCAGCTCCCAAAGACCCGAGCATGAATATAAGCTCACTTAGACCTAAGCACAGAGGTCCTAGAATCTTCAGACAACAGCTCCCTGAAAGCAAGAGCGAGGAGCTATCGAGGCTGCTGTCCCTGCAGCAGTTTCCAGAGCTTTTGCGCACCTTGAAGGCCAGCGGAAGGAACAACAAAAAGGGCTGGTTGGGAAGTTGAGAGTCAAGGCCTGCTAGGATTCGGGGTTCGTTCATGCTTCTGGATTTCAGGGTTTGAGGGAATCCGCCTGGTCTTTGCAACTCAGAGATTCCGGCTCCAGAGCATATATGTGCATTGCGCTGCATAGCCCAAAAGCCTGGGACAAGATGTCCTTTGAGCCCAGAAACCTCAGGATATTGTTCCTTAGAGCCTGGGGTTGGAGTGTTCGTTTTAACTTGAAAAGTCCTGCACCCCCAGTTTCGGGCTTGCTGCCTTAGGTTTCAGGCTCAGGGGTCCGCAGCGAGCTCCTAGTTTCTACCGTCACAAGACCCTGAGCTATGTAGGGCTTTTAAGCAGCGGTCTAAAATAAGGTATCTTCCTCAATCGGATGGTGCGTTTTCGGGTGAGGCTTTCGCCTCCCAGAACTCTACGCCTGCTTCGGCGACGGCTCTCAGCCACTTGTCCACGCTGGCCCGCTCCTCGGAACGGGGAAGGGGGCAGCAAACCCAGCTACGATGTCCCAAGGACCCAGAAGGGGCTCATTGGTCTGTACCCATAGGCTCCATAGTAGTTCCTTTTTGGGATTACCTTGTAGGATTCTATATATGAACCCCAAACAGGAACTACTTCGGAGCCTTAGGGTAAAGATACTGTTATGAAGGGACATCCTACAACACCCTAAACCCTAAACCCCTAAACCCTAAACCCTAAGCACTACCAGGAATACACTTTTGTTTTGAATCCTGAACCCCGAACCCCAAGGCATCCTAAACTCCTAAACCCATGAGCCCGAAGCTTTGACACCCTGAACCTTTGGGAGTTTCCGAAAAAATCGGGGGACCCTAGCATAGTACCCTAAATAGTAGGATCCCTATAACAAGGACCCCAAATTAAGGTAGTACCCTAAATAGTAGGATCTCTATTATAAGGACCCCAAAGTAAGGTAGTACCCTAAATAGTAGGATCTCTATTATAAGGACCCCAAAGTAAGGTACCCCTCATTTTCGGAAACTCCCATTTAGGAATCTTGGAAGCTTCAGGTTCCGCAGATGGCTCGTGGTGCCCGGTCTTTGCCTGTGGAGGCCCAGCGATGTCTCGGAAGTGGTGAACTTGGAGGGTCGGGGGACTTAGTAACTGGTTATTTTAGGGACTTATAAGTACCATAAGTGGGGTTATCCTAATTATAACCTACTTATAACCTCACTTACTAAGTCCCATGAGCCTTCAAGTGGTTGCTCAGATGCATCTGATGAGATGATGAGAGCACCAGTCTGAATGCTCAGGTCAAGGTTCGAGCCCCTTCCGCAGTTGTCTTATGGATCCCTTATAGTGACCCTTATAGACCCCTTCAAAGGAACCCTATTCTAGTTATCTAGGTCCCTTAAGCCTTAAATGGTACCTGTGATTTCGGCTTTTTGAACTACTTCGCGGCTTCTGCCTCGAAAGGGAGGCAGTTGGGTGTTGAAAGAGGGTGGTGGGCATTGGAAGCCCAGGCCCACAAGGCCCCTAAAGCCTCAGAAAGTTCGCTTTTAGTGCTTGGCATGACCAGCCTGTGCTGTAGGAGCTGCCTCAGCAACCTTCACGAATTCTAGGGCTTTGTTTCCAAAATCACACCGCAATCCCAACGTCTGAGGCGTTGGGTCTAGGGGCTGAGGAAGAAAGAAAAAGATTGAACACTTCGTAAGTTTCTCCCCTTATAGCCGCATAGCCCCAACATACTCATACGAGTGCTGCAGACTGCGCCAGGGCCCCCATTCGATGTAAAGGCATCCACGTTATTCCCTGTTGCTAAACCGGGAATCCTGAGGTTCTTCGGAAAGAAACTCCCGACTCCCTGTCCCTGGAGGTATGTCTCGCGGTTTGGAAAGGTCAATGTGCATAGTCTCTGGGTTTTAAAATTAAGGTTTAGGTGGGGCTCATATGCGGTCCTCTCACGAAGTAGTAGGGATTGTGAATGGTTGTGGTAGCAAGTAGCATCTCAAGGAAGCGACTTGTGCCGTAGCTTGGTGTAACACCTGACGAAGCCAGCAAGTTGCCTAGCAGCCAAGACTTCCGAACCTCCAAAATGCCAGAGAATCCAGTTTTCGTAAAATGATCGAACCGGATCGTGGAACGTAATAATATGTATATAATATAAAGAGATGTATATATATATATATATACATAATTATATCTATAACTTTTGGTCCAAGACATTATTTCTTAATGGAATCACACACAGTATACTAGGGATCCATGTGCTTCTTCTCTGCAGAGCGGCCAGGAGCCCAAGAAGCCTTATTTCAACTAGGGGTCTGAACCACCAGACGGAGGTCCTGGTAAAAATTTCGGAATCGAAACTATAGTATCTGCCCACCCACCCCTCAGAAAAAAAAAGTCTTGTTATTCAAGCCCGTATGTTAGTGGCAGGCTCAGTCGCAATGGCGTTCGCTTTGGGCACGGAGCCTAGATGCCGGCGTGTGAAGCAACTAACTGGGCATTCTGTACTGGGCAAACCGCTTATTGTAATCTCCGTGTTTCATCAGTTATATGTGTGTTGCAAAACTTGTTCGTTCTTATCATCTGACCATGTGTAAAGCAGCTAATCGAGAGGGTGTTCTTGGAGGTTTTTGGCATAGTCTACAGGAGCTAGGGTCTATGGGTTTTGTGGGTGGGGGCTGCTTCCTCGACTCTCTGATCCACCCAGGGCTCGGAGTGTGTTCCACGCTGTTATCGTTTGTAAAGCTTCTATTGCAACATAGGGGCCTTAAGAATGAGAAGAGGGTTTTGGGAGAGCATGTTGAAGTATATCTAATAAAAAGACTGAGCGTGGATGCTCTGTATCGCATGGCGTTCAAGACTACAACATCGCTGCAAGCGGAGTTCCTGCTTGGTTAGGATCTCCGTGATCGGAAGCGGGAAGTGTGGGCTCGATGGCCCGTTCCTGAAATGAAGCGTCCTTGGGCCCTAGAAGGGTTGACCATGCGAATGCAAATCCTTCCTACACACTGGGCCCAGATCCCTACTAACTAAAACCCTGTAAGCCCTTAACCCAAGCAAGTTCCACAAACTCTTACTGGGCAAACTCAGCCCCACCTAGGTGCCCACTCTCCAAGCTTTGGCGGACATTGCCCGTGATGGATCCCAGCGGTGTTCTGCGCAGGCGGAAGGACCACTATTCAAGATTCTACCAAGGGCTTCGTCTAGAGCAACCCTCATACCGTTGCCGAGAGCGACAGATGCGGATTGACGCAGTGTCCACCAGCGTCGCAGTCCGCGCATGCGAACTGTCCAGTCTTCTAGGTTCGTCCACTGGAAAGATTTGCTCTGTTCAGGATCTGTCAAGAATTGCTACACCCCTGAACCTCAACACGACTCAACTCTCGACTGCCATAATACACAGAAGTGAGTAACCAACGTGTTTGGTGTTTGTCTTGTGTGTGTCTGTGTGTTTGGGGTGATGGAATCTTGTAGTGAAGCCTTTCAAATCGCATAACGCTGCATCCTAAGCTAAATCGTATAAACACCACAAAATACAAAAGTCAAACCCCAAATCTACAAACACAAAACTTCAAAGCCCCCAAAACCAGAAGTCCTATAAGCCTTACACACCCAAAAGCCTTACACCCCTAAACCCTAAATCCTAAACCCTAAGCCTTACGCCACTAAAGCAGACAGGCTTTCGTGTATCTGCAGCGGCTCCTGCTGGAATGTGGGACGGACCTCGCGCTGCCTTGGGCGTGGGCCTTGGGAGCACTCAGCGAAGCCCCGGCTTTCATTTCTCATACGAGTACATATCAAAAGTCACATGAGTATTCGAAGATTAATATTCAAGTTCATAGTAGTTTTCGAAGGAAGATTTTAGTTTTCATTTTTAGGATCAGTAATGATATCACTGATATGACTATGAGTACGAGTATGAAAGTTAGTACTGACACTTCATCATGGAGAGTCATACGGGAGGGGACGCGGGGCTTGATGTGTTCGGGAGTACCAATGTGAACTGGGGTACCAATGTGAACTGGGGTTTGATATGTTCTAGAGCGGTAAGGGAGCTCGAAGGGGTTTGAGAAGTTTTATCGGATCTCACAAGAGTTTGGAAGGCTTTTAGAGCGTGTTTGTGAGTTCATGGGTGGGGTTTAGTTAAGTTTGACTTCCCCGTGACTCTAAACCAGATCCGTTCGGTTTCTATCCCTGAACGTTCAAGAGAGGTCGAGGATCCTTGACATCCGAGGCTCTTTTGGCTTCTTGTTAAGGGGTTTCATTTAAGCTACCAAAAAAAGGGATCTATAGTATCATCTACTTGTTCAGGGGTTTAATGTAAGTTACCATAAATAGGGACCTATAGACCTATAGTATCTGCAAAGAAAATAGTATGGGTTGCTTATTCTGGGTACTTACAAATTCAGTCCTGCAACACGAACCCAGTCTCGGTGAGCGGAGCCTTGGCGTTCATCGCTCGGTTAAGGATGTGAGGCTCTGTGGCTGAGGGCTGAGAGCCTCGAACCTCACCAAGCACGGATCGAAGCCAAAATTGTGTGAGCCTTCTCCTGAAGATCCTCAACCCGAAATCCTGGAGCTACAGCTAGATCCCACGAAAGTCACGTCCCTAGTTCCCCCCCCCCCCCCGCGCAGCTTCTTTCAAGCAGCGGTATCCTTAGCGTTTAGGGTATGGGGTTTTGGGGTTTAGGGTTCCGTTCAACTTCGTGCATTTTGGGCCGCTGAAATGGGGCCCTCTACCCGAATCCATCACCCGCAGCAAGATCTGCAAAAGGGGCCACCCAGCAATCTGAAGTGACCGCTTCAAATTTCAGAAGGACTTCGCAGTCCCCGGTTATAATGGGGGTCCTCAACCCGGAAGACATTGATGTCATTTTCGGTACCTGAAAGCAGCGGTTGTTAAACTCTAACTCGTAAACCCTGAACCAAATCTTTAGTCGTAAACCCTCAACCCCACTCGTAGGTTCGTGGGTTATAAGTCCGCTAATATGGTTTACAAGTATGTTTACCCTACTTATAACCTACTTACAACTAGCCATGAACCTCCAAGTACACCTTCAAGGGTTCCTTGAGGGGTCCTAGATAGGGCTTTGGGACATTTTATCTTTTCCCTTGTTGGGCTTAAGAGGATCTTATCTACTAATATTTTTCAAAGGCTCTAAAAGCCCCACCTAGGTTTGGACCTCTTGTGGATGTTAAGGGTTCCTTTAGGAACCCTTAACTTTAGGGGTCCCTTTAACACACACTTGAGCCCAAGCTCGCGTGGCGAGGAGCAGCTGGAGTTCAACGCCTGGAAGGAGTGCCTGGAGCAGGCCGGAGACATCGACAAGCCAGAGGGACTACTACTACTACTACTACTACTACTACTACTACTACTACTACTACTACTACTACTACTATTGCTACTATTAGTACTACTACTATTACTAGAGGGTCCATGTTATACGCACCGATTTTGGAACTAGGTCCCCCCAAACCATGATAAGCATGGGCTTTTGGGACCTAATTCCATAATGGTAGTATATATGGCCAGGGATATCCTGGGCTCTTGTTAAGGGATAAATTAATTCATTAATTAAACTAAATCAATTAAATCAATTAAGTATTAAGTTATTAAGTATTAAGTTAGTTAAAATAAGTTAATTACCATAATTCGGGATCTATAAGGATTTAGAAGGCTTAGTAAATCAACATCTGATTAGCTGTAAAGTTTGAGTTTGGGCTTAGGGCTTTGAGTTTCGGGTTTGGGTATAGCGACGGTCCAGGATTAGGTTGTGTGTGCGCGAGGGATGTTTCGGGCACAAGGATTAGGATCCAGAGTTCTTTTTTTGCCAAGGTTTGGAATTTGGGTTTGGGATTTGGGTGAGGCTTCAGTGCCTCGCCGGTTTGAAGGACTTCCCCCACCTGAACTCTGTGTCTTTTGGTCTCGGCGATTTCGCAAGGGCCCAGGAATTGAAGTATTTGTCGCACCTCTGGCCTACGTCGGTAGGGCCATGGTCGCTTGTTTTTGATGAGCATCCCAAAGCGAGTTGATATAGAATTCCCATTCCAACAGTACAGTCGGTGCCGTGGTGTAGGGTGGATGAGCTATTGATTACTGTACGAGGCTTTCGCTATTTATACTATTGTCCTAAAGACTGATGCTTTACGTGCGGCTTGTCCGCCCAGAGCCGCGAAGTCTTCCCAGAAAGTTTTCATGTTCAGTGCTGGCGGTTCCTCTCATGGTTTGTGAACTCAGCTTATGTGCCACAGCTGCTCTCAGCGAACAGCTAGGGCTTAGAGATTCCAACTTCGTGTTACCTGTTCAGAGATTGGCTTCCTTTGGGGTTAGGGTTGCGTGACGCTAAACCCCAAACCCTAAACCCTGGGGTTGAGTAGTCAATGATCTGCGCTTGGACAAGGTGCTCGTTCCGCTGCTGCAATCGCACCCTGCAGAAGGCGCCGAAGACTCTTCGTACCTTTAAGAGCTTTGGAGCTTAAGGTTTAGGGTGCAGGATTCCCTTTAAAAGCTTTGAAGTTTAGGCCAAAGATTTCCGGGTTCAGGATTACAGTTTAGTGTTCCGGATTTGAGGTTGTACAGGGTTCTGGGTTGCTGTTCTGTATGAACCCAGTCTTACGCAGGCTGGCGGACAGGACGAAGGCTTCTTTCAAAAGAGTTGCCCAGCATTACATGGGGTGTTAGGGGCTGCCTCGTTTAAGAGTCCGTGTAACATGAAGACCATGTTCATTCCTAATGTTTGGTAACATGAAGGCCATGCTCATTCTTAATGTTTGGTAACATGAAGACCATGCTCATTCTTAATGTTTGGGGCTATTTGCCCCGTGAGTTCCATGACACGTCGAGCTGTATTCCCTGAGCTCCACGCCCTGGGCAACCCCAAGCCCCAAGCCCGAGCCGAGCCTCGCGGGTAATATTAATGACAACACTAATGATTCGTAATAGTAGCACTAATACTAGTAGTAATGGCAAAAATAGCAGTAATGGTCATAATCGTAGGAATCGTAATTGTAGAAATCGTGGTAATAGTAGAAACTGTCGAAACAGTAGTCGAGTAGTGGCTGAGGGCTTGGGGCTGAAAGGGAGTCATGGTGTTTGGCCGTGCGGGGAAAGGTCGTATTGCTGGTGTCACAAACATGGATAATGCTGGAAGAAGTGAGCAGGAAGGCCTGGTGCACAGGCACCCCCTAATTAGCACCTCGAAGCAATCACGGACAAGCACAGAGCAAGAACCCAAACCCTTGAACCCGTACATATGCCTGGACCATCAGTGCTCCAGCCAACTAAACACATGATCTAATTCTACAGGGGAATAAGCGAATTTCCATATGCTTGCTTCACTATCCTGCTAGTACTGCTGCTCCTATTATCATTAATGGTGTTAGTATTAACCTTCTTTGGAATATTGTGAGTATGATTAGTATTCTTGTGGAAGAGATTAGCATCCTGGTGCTTGGAGGTGCTGATGGCGCAGCTCTGACCCCAGGCTCCCAGGCGAGGGCCCAAGGCTTTCGGTTCGGGGTTCAGGGTTTGGGGTTTAGGTTCAGGGTTAGGGATGTTTCAGGGATAAGGATTTAGGGTGTGGGCTATAGTAAGTTTGGGTTTTAGGGTTGCGGGGTTGTGGCTTCAGATTTTAGGGCTGTATAGTTCAGAATGTTGTTGGCTTTTGATCTTTGAAGTTGAGGGGTGGCTACGTTTGACTTCCCAGCGAAGGACCTTGATAAATCCGAATTCGTTGACCTTTGGACGACGTGTTTGTTTGCTCTATTCTCCGAGCCCACGATGTTATGTGGCTGTTGTACCTCAACGGTTAAGACGAAGAAGACGGAGACAGACGAGGAATGATGACAACGCAGATGTGCAGATACCTAACCCAGATCCCATGCCTGTTGTTGAGCAGCGATGCTCAAACGCCGACAGAGCGAGCAGAGCCGACTTAAGAAGCCTTCGAGTTCTTGCGACCAGAGCTGGCCTCAACCATGAGTCATAGGAGGTGTAGCACAACAACGAGCGCCACAGCTAAAAGACCAGTGAACTGCAGGTAGGAGCTGCGGTATTTGGCATATTGCATAGTACGAAAGAGCTGAGAAACAGCGATCCAGGAGGCGGCTGCTACTCGCCAAGCGAATGCAGCCCAGCTTGTGTGTTGGATCCCCAGACCTACCGTGAAGGAGTCGCGGAGCTTTCTGCTTGGGTTTCTGGTAAGAGTGGGTTTGTGAAACCCTGGAGCCTAAACCCTAAACTGGTTCAGGGTTTCTTTGGAAGATGGAGAGCATGGTGTTTGCTCTGTGTCCGACTCGATCGTCGTGAAATTGCGCCATCTTCCAGCCAGCCTCACACTCCTAGGAGATTGTCGACTTCAGCCTGCAAGAACCTGAACCTTACACCCTCAAATTCCCTGAGACCCTAGATCAATTTCAAGAGTCTTGCAAGCTTGTTGGCCGTTGGGGTTTTGTGGACGCTCCCAGGATGTGAGGGTTTAGATATGAGCGCGTATCGTGGGGCTCGTGTGATGTAGAAGCATCCCAGATACCTAATGTTCTAGTTAAGGTGGTCACAAACAAGATATGACATTCTCTCACCGAAGAAAAAGTTGACTCTAGCTTTGAGCACCGCCTTGTACCCCTAAGATATCCATGTCCCAAGTCCTGTTCAAATGCTTTCCTCTTCACCATGTCCCGACATGCCATCCCACTGCGTCGGAAGAGAAGACTGGCGAAGCTCAGCTTCTCACCCAGTTTCCGGTTGAGGCTTCAGAGGTCTCGGGCTTCGGGGCAGTTTACACCATGAGCTGAGGACTTGTGCTTCTGTACCTCGCGGGCTTTGGGGAAACGTCGCATAGGCCCAACACCAAAAGATTGAATCCACCGAACCCAAAACCCCAAGCTGGGCCCAAGCCAAAAGCTTTAGCGTAAGATCCTATAAGCCTATTCTCCACCAACCCTATATGAGCCCTTTCATATTCCTAAACCCCCAAGCTGCAGAACTGCTTTGCTCCAGGTCGTGTCTTGCTCACACATATGTGTCGGACCCAGGTCACATCAAGTATTCAGCAATTCGGCGTTGTTCCAAGTTCAGGGTCTATAGGGGTGTGGGTGTGGGGAGGGAGAGAGAGAGAGAGAGAGAGTTACAGAGAGAGAGAGAGAGAGAGACAGAGAGACAGGGAGACAAAGAGTGAGAGAGAGAGAGGGTGAGAGTGCCGGGCTCAGGGTCTTGGTAGTTTGATTGCCGTCTTGTGTTGAGGGTCTGGGGGCGTTTGGGATTGCGGCGTCGTGTTGAGGATCGTTCTTGAAGTTCATGCTGTATTGCGGTGGGAACTCTAGGCCCATACTGATCAGGTTCTTTTGCGAAGAAGGTGCCGTGACGAGACTGGGATGCGATCCTTCGATCAGAAGCCCCACTTCAACCAGAAGTCAGACTGCCGGGCGTGCTATCAGGGGGCCTTGCAACACTATGTGCACTGTGGTAGGAGAAGCCTGCGATAGACTTAGATCTGTATTTATACGTGTGCATGTGTTCGTTTACGCAAACATGTCTGTACACTGCACCCGGAAGCCTATTCAAAATAATACCTGTGGTTAGTAGGGAATCCATTCTTCCATTCCTTACTAACCAAAAGTAAGAAATCTGGCAGTAATAGCAGTAAAAAATGTACCCCATTCCTCCATTCCCTACTCACCACAGGCAAGCCCATTCAAAATCCGACTGCCGAGGCCCAGTTGGTTGAGATCTTCGCCCGCTGTCAGCTCAGAACGGCAACTGAAGTAATGTAGGGGCCTAAGTAATTACCAATACTATTTTGGGGAGGTCCTTATTATAAGTATAGTATAATGGCCCCAAAACTGTATTCTAATTATTAAGGCCCCTTTTGAAGAGCCTGGACTGCGGCGAGAACCACCGACCTCCAACCCTTACTTTCGTTGTGTTCTCGTCATTTCTCGAACATGGACGTGGTGTTCGTCGGTGTCGTCGTCGTCCACGTTGTAGTAGTGATGCTTGTTAGTTCTTGCTGTCACAGCTGCACTGGCCTGCGGCTCTGACAATCCTCTCATACTCCAATAGTCCGCACAAGGTAGTAGTTGCATTGCTATAGCTGCATGTGGCTTTCGGAAAACAGGACCTTAACCCCAAACCCTCAATCCTGAAACCTCAACCCTATACAAAGTCCTAAACCCCTAAAGCCCCAGAACTCAATACCGAGGACGGCTTCCCAGTCCTTTTCCTTCGCATCTTGCACGTCCTGGTCAGCGAGGCTTTCTGCAGATTCTTCCTTTGAAAGTCTTAGGATCTACAGGGCTCAGGGATGTAATTTGTTAGGTTTAAGGAGTTGTAGGACTTCGTATTTGTTTTCAGTTTCCGGTGTTTTGGGATAACGGTTTAGGGCTTATGGGCGCGGACTTCCCCTGGCTCCTGAAGCTCTTGGTTGTGTTCAGGGAACTCCGGGTATGCGGAACCTAGGGTCCCGCTTTGGGGTGGGCCGGTGTTGATCTCAAGGTTGCGGCAGCTGGTGTCGGGCAAGACTTTCTGACGTTTGTACTTGTGTGAAAAGTTTGATAGATCTCTTTTCGATCGCAACAAGAGCGGCAACACTGGCAAAAGCAAGCACAAAAGTCCCCATACAAAGGATCAGAACAGCAGTACCAAGCTGTAATTACTGCGAATGGCATCACCGAAGAGGGTTTAGCACCCTGGACCCTAGACTGGAGCCTATGATTAAGGATGCACCAAGATTCGGCCGATTCGGCTTTGCCAGCTTTAGGCGTTAAATCTGGCCAAGGCCCGCAAGACTTGGATTCGACGAGCAGCTAACGTCGTCTTCAGCACGACTCGTCACTTGTGACTGGGAGCCCTACACGATTTCGGGTTGAGAGATTGGAGTGTGGAGCTTGGGCTATAGCTGATTTTTGCTACGCTCCGCCTGGAGGCCACGACAGAGACCGCGAAGCTGCCATTGGTGGAGCCGGACCCTATGAGTGTGTTTGAAAAGATAGGCTTGGGCTTTGGGTAGGCCAGGTTCCTATCTATGGCTAAAAGGCGTGCTGCTCGAGTGTGTAATGCCTAGGACAACTTTCCAGTCGTCTGTTGTGGGGCTTTGGTTGCAGTTTCAAAGCATGATCGAGTTCCCTTTTGAATGCTTGGGAGCTGAGCGGAGTTCAGGTTGGTTTTTCCGGCCCCGGCGCTTGCTGTTGAGACCGTGTAATGTGGTGCCATAAACATCTAGAACCAAGCTGTGTGGGCATCACGAACAGACTCAGCTAGCCTCTCGAGACAGGGTGGGAACGCAGAGTGGTTTCTTGGTCATGCGAGCATGTGTAGGGTGCAGCCTACTGGTGTAGGGTGCTGCGAACGATGCTCATTGCCAGAGCTGCATATGAGGTCTTTGAAGAATTTGCTGCTGGTGATCTCCGCAGCAGGGGCCTCTGCTGGTCCCATGTATGCATGCACATAGGTATGTATGTACGTACATATGTATGTATGTATGTATGTATGTATGTATGTGTACACATGCGCAAGTCGCATACGCAGAAGCGTATAGTTGCACATGTTGCATGACCGCGGACAAACAGTCGTATGAGTATGTGTACATATGTACACCATTGTCTTCAACGTGTGAGATACATAGCTTTGGCATGAGAGTCCTGCTTGTTACGTTATGCCTTCTGCAAGCACACACCGAGAAGGCACGCTGCATGCAAAAGTTGTCTGCATGTGTATGCATCTGTTTCGTCTTGGGAGTCTGTGTCTGTCACCACAGGACAGTTCCGAGGGCTTTCTTCGGTTCGGCTCAGCAAGAAGTTCAGGGAGCTTGGACATCAGTCGCAACTCGTCCTTGCGATTTGAAGTTGCAGCTTGTCCGGTCCATCCAAACCTCTCCTAAAGATGGATACCCTTGGCTGAGCTCATGATGAGCTCAGACCTGCAATTGCCGACACGCCGTTGTGCTGTGTCCACTGATGGGTGCAATGAGCATCTCAATTGCATCCTGGCCACTGAAACAACAAATTAGCAATCACACGAGACTTGTGTAGCCAGCGCCTGCAAGCAAGTGTCAGGATTATCACCACCTTTCAATTCCTGGGAGAAAACAGCTGCCGGAGAATCTCTGACGTCTACTCGAGATTGCGTTGAAGACCTCACCTGGCCTTATGTTTCACTTGTGCTGTTGGCGTTCGAGTTTGCCAATATGCACTACATCTGGCCGCACACGAGCTTCCAGATCATGAGCGCCAGGCCCCTGCGATGGGCCATGGCGTCTTTCCGCTCGGGCACAGCTGGCCCCACACCTGTGATGCAGTGGTCAAAGAAGACACGGATGGTACGGGCATGTCACCGGGCGGCTGTGAGATTCAACCCAGGGCATGCGTTCGCCTTGACACGACATGCCTGTGACAAGGCAGTTGCGATTGTGCATTGTGCTTCAGCTACGTATAGTCAGCACACGTCGACGAGCAGTGTGCCAAGACAAGACACACTTGCAGCGACCTCGCTGCGGTTTTTATGTGGCCCTGCGACAAGCAGTGACAAGTCTCTTGAGCCAGCTTTGGCTTCTGGCGTCACTCTTCCTTGGCACATCTGGCTTAACCACGTTGCCCCTGCAAGTGTGCATTGAGCCGGATGGGTGCCCTCACCTGGCCTTATGTTTCAGTTGTGCTGTTGGCGTTCAAGTTTTGCCAATATGCACTACATCTGGCCGCACACGAGCTTCCAGATCATGAGCGCCAGGCCCCTGCGATGGGCCATGGCGTCTTTCCGCTCGGGCACAGCTGGCCCCACACCTGTGATGCAGTGGTCAAAGAAGACACGGATGGTACGGGCATGTCACCGGGCGGCTGTGAGATTCAACCCAGGGCCTTGACACGACATGCCTGTGATAAGGCAGTTGCGATTGTGCATTGTGCTTCAGCTACGTATAGTCAGCACACGTCGACGAGCAGTGTGCCAAGACAAGACACACTTGCAGCGACCTCGCTGCGGGTTTTATGTGGCCCTGCGACAAGCAGTGACAAGTCTCTTGAGCGGCGGAAGTCCAGCTTTGGCTTCTGGCGTCACTCTTCCTTGGCACATCTGGCTTAACCACGTTGCGCCTCGAAGTGTGCATTGAGCCGGATGGGTGCCCTCACCTGGCCTTATGTTTCAGTTGTGCTGTTGGCGTTCAAGTTTTGCCAATATGCACTACATCTGGCCGCACACGAGCTTCCAGATCATGAGCGCCAGGCCCCTGCGATGGGCCATGGCGTCTTTCCGCTCGGGCACAGCCGGCTGCACACTGGCAACCCAATGGGAAGCTGCTCGAGCAATAGGATGAAAGCATCTTTGTAACATCGTCTTTCCGACATTGCTCTTTTCGAAAGGTAAGTTCAGTTGTTTAACGGAATACGAACTGATGTTTTGTACCGGCTGCGTCCTCGTGCGAGCAGTTGCATTACGGAATCGTGCTGCCTGTGCATCGGAAAAGATCAGAGGAGTTGGCACAGGCCCGTCCCGTGGATGGTTTTCGATCAGTGTGCCAAGACAAGACAGGCTTGCAGCGACCTCGCCGTGGGCTTTATGCGGCCCTGCGACAAGCAGTGACAAGTCTCTTGAGCGGCGGAAGTCCAGCTTTGGCTTCTGGCGTCACTCTTCCTTGGCACATCTGTGTCAATCCTGTTCCCGATGCTGTGCATTGAGCCGGATGGGTGACACCACGTGGTCTTGCACTTCATGCGTGTTGTTGGTTTGCGTCCTTGCCAACATGCACCACATTTGGCCACACACGAGAGTCCAGAACAAGAGCGCCGGGTCCTTGCGATGGGCCATGGCGTCTTTCGCCTAGGCCACAGCCAGCCGAGCACTAGCGACCAAATAGGAAGCTGTTCAAGCCATAACATGAAGTCGTAAAAGAAGCACCGACAAAGTCGTGACCCAGACCCCAAACTAGCTTAGTTTCGGTTGTCTTGCAACATCGTCTTCCCCACAGTGTTCTCTTCGAAAGGTCAGTCGTCGAACGGAGCACACACTGAGAAGTTGTACTGGCACCCCAAATGGCCATGCCGTCGGGGTGAAAAGTGAGGGGTGGGAGGGGGTCTTAGTGGAATTGACATGGCTTGGACCGCGTCGTGCTTCCTCGTGCGATTGCTTCGGAAAGGATCAGCACGCGGTAGCACACGTCCCGTAGATGATCGATGTGCAGTGTGCCCAGACAAGACAGGCTTGCAGCGACCTCGCTGTGGGTTCTATGCGGCCCTGCGACAGGCACTGACAAGTCTCTTGAGCGGCGGAAGTCCAGCTTTGGCTTCTGGCGTCACTCTTCCTTGGCACATCTGTGTCAATCCTGTTCCCGATGCTGTGCATTGAACCGGATGGGTGACACTACGTGGTCTTGCACTTCATGCGTGTTGTTGGTATGCGTCCTTGCCAACATGCACCACATTTGGCCACACACGAGAGTCCAGAACAAGAGCGCCGGGTCCTTGCGATGGGCCATGGCGTCTTTCGCCTAGGCCACAGCCAGCCGAGCACTAGCGACCAAATAGGAAGCTGTTCAAGCCATAACATGAAGTCGTAAAAGAAGCACCGACAAGGTCGTGACCCAGACCCCAAACTAGCTTAGTTTCGGTTGTCTTCCAACATCGTCTTCCCCACAGTGTTCTTTTCGAAAGGTCAGTCGTCGAACGGAGCACACACTGAGAAGTTGTACTGGCACCCCAAATGGCCATGCCGTCGGGGTGAAAAGTGAGGGGTGGGAGGGGGTCTTAGTGGAATTGACATGGCTTGGACCGCGTCGTGCTTCCTCGTGCGATTGCTTCGGAAAGGATCAGCACGCGGTAGCACACGTCCCGTAGATGATCGATGTGCAGTGTGTCAAGACAAAACAGGCTTGCAGCGACCTCGCTGTGGGTTTTATGCGGCCCTGCGACAAGCAGTGACAAGTCTCTTGAGCGGCGGAAGTCCAGCTTTGGCTTCTGGCGTCACTCTTCCTTGGCACATCTGTGTCAATCCTGTTCCCGATGCTGTGCATTGAACCGGATGGGTGACACTACGTGGTCTTGCACTTCATGCGTGTTGTTGGTTTGCGTCCTTGCCAACATGCACCACATTTGGCCACACACGAGCGTCCAGAACAAGAGCGCCGGGTCCTTGCGATGGGCCATGGCGTCTTTCGCCTAGGCCACAGCCAGCCGAGCACTAGCGACCAAATAGGAAGCTGTTCAAGCCATAACATGAAGTCGTAAAAGAAGCACCGACAAGGTCGTGACCCAGACCCCAAACTAGCTTAGTTTCGGTTGTCTTCCAACATCGTCTTCCCCACAGTGTTCTCTTCGAAAGGTCAGTCGTCGAACGGAGCACACACTGAGAAGTTGTACTGGCACCCCAAATGGCCATGCCGTCGGGGTGAAAAGTGAGGGGTGGGAGGGGGTCTTAGTGGAATTGACATGGCTTGGACCGCGTCGTGCTTCCTCGTGCGATTGCTTCGGAAAGGATCAGCACGCGGTAGCACACGTCCCGTAGATGATCGATGTGCAGTGTGTCAAGACAAAACAGGCTTGCAGCGACCTCGCTGTGGGTTTTATGCGGCCCTGCGACAAGCAGTGACAAGTCTCTTGAGCGGCGGAAGTCCAGCTTTGGCTTCTGGCGTCACTCTTCCTTGGCACATCTGTGTCAATCCTGTTCCCGATGCTGTGCATTGAACCGGATGGGTGACACTACGTGGTCTTGCACTTCATGCGTGTTGTTGGTTTGCGTCCTTGCCAACATGCACCACATTTGGCCACACACGAGCGTCCAGAACAAGAGCGCCGGGTCCTTGCGATGGGCCATGGCGTCTTTCGCCTAGGCCACAGCCAGCCGAGCACTAGCGACCAAATAGGAAGCTGTTCAAGCCATAACATGAAGTCGTAAAAGAAGCACCGACAAGGTCGTGACCCAGACCCCAAACTAGCTTAGTTTCGGTTGTCTTCCAACATCGTCTTCCCCACAGTGTTCTCTTCGAAAGGTCAGTCGTCGAACGGAGCACACACTGAGAAGTTGTACTGGCACCCCAAATGGCCATGCCGTCGGGGTGAAAAGTGAGGGGTGGGAGGGGGTCTTAGTGGAATTGACATGGCTTGGACCGCGTCGTGCTTCCTCGTGCGATTGCTTCGGAAAGGATCAGCACGCGGTAGCACACGTCCCGTAGATGATCGATGTGCAGTGTGTCAAGACAAAACAGGCTTGCAGCGACCTCGCTGTGGGTTTTATGCGGCCCTGCGACAAGCAGTGACAAGTCTCTTGAGCGGCGGAAGTCCAGCTTTGGCTTCTGGCGTCACTCTTCCTTGGCACATCTGTGTCAATCCTGTTCCCGATGCTGTGCATTGAGCCGGATGGGTGACACCACGTGGTCTTGCACTTCATGCGTGTTGTTGGTTTGCGTCCTTGCCAACATGCACCACATTTGGCCACACACGAGCGTCCAGAACAAGAGCGCCGGGTCCTTGCGATGGGCCATGGCGTCTTTCGCCTAGGCCACAGCCAGCCGAGCACTAGCGACCAAATAGGAAGCTGTTCAAGCCATAACATGAAGTCGTAAAAGAAGCACCGACAAGGTCGTGACCCAGACCCCAAACTAGCTTAGTTTCGGTTGTCTTCCAACATCGTCTTCCCCACAGTGTTCTCTTCGAAAGGTCAGTCGTCGAACGGAGCACACACTGAGAAGTTGTACTGGCATGGCCAATTGGGGTGGCAGGCCACAGTCTCATTACGGAATCGTCGTGTTGGGTTTCCTCGGAAGGGGTCACAACGCGTTAGCACGCGTCCCGTGGATGATCGACGAGCAGTGTGCCAAGACAAGACAGGCTTGCAGCGACCTCGCTCTGTGTTTTATGCGGCCCTGCGACAAGCAGTGACAAGTCTCTTGAGCGGCGGAAGTCCAGCTTTGGCTTCTGGCGTCACTCTTCCTTGGCACATCTGAGAACATGTGGCTTCGAAGCCTCCAGCTCCTGGTGTTGGGGTTGTTTAGTTTTTCGACAACACCCCGAAGATCTATTAACGCCTAAGAGCTCTCGGGCGCTTCATGACTGCACCTTTGCCCCCAAGGGTCCAAAAGACCCACTGATGAGAGCTACTTGGGTTTTGGATGGTACTTGTGTATAGGCTAGTATTGGCAGAGCATATGATTACTAGCTATTGCCCATTTTAAAGGAACCTTAAAAACGTGGGCTTCCCCTCAGAAGGAGCCCGAAGACATCTAGGTATCCCTTTCACAGGAGCCCCGAAGCCCCTAGGGCTTTTGTCTCAAAGGATCCGGCTTTTGGCGAGCTCCCCTCGCCCAAGCAGGGCGAGACACTCTTAGAGGCAACGCAGAAGGGCGGATGGGGGTTTAGGGTTTAGGGTTAGGGTTACGGTTACGGTGCAATATATATATATATATATATAAATAAACAAATTCATACATGTTGTTTCCTTGGAGGAGTTCAAAGTGACCGGCTCTATCGGGCATGCTTGGGCTTTGCAATGGTTTCCGTAGTGGCGAGTGAAAGGTTCTAGATGGGCTTTAAACAGTTTTTTTGCAAGGGTTTGATAGGGGATGCTTCAGGTAACCGGTGGTGGTCAGGGTCTGTATTGGGTTCCCTTTCTGAAAGAGAGCTCGGCGGATCTACAGATGTAAGTTTACACATTCATACGTTTCAACAAATTAGCGCAGCCCGTAAGTAGGACGCAGAAGGCTTTTAATGATTATTTTAATGTTCGCTTGGGCGCAGGGTTCATGGGCATTTAGCAGAATTTAGCAGGTTGTTTGTGCGTTAGATGGGCAGCAGAACTTCGACCTGCAATGGCTTCAACTGAGTTTAGTAAGAGCTTCCAAAGTAATATAATCCCTGTAAAATATACCAGCCCTATTCCTAAATTATGCCTTTGAATCCATGGTCCTTTCTTGGCCGCCCCATCAAACCTTCGAACGTTTGCAGGCCGCCTGGGGCGTGGTCTCTCCTGCTTTGCCGGAGTTGCGCCGCGAGGCGCCCTTTCCACGATTCCTGTGTAGTTGTTGTTTGTCGTTTACGGTGAGTATGCGCAAGAACGTCGGCAGTTGTATGTTTTGCGGTCGTCGTGGTAGTCTGATGGTGTATTCCTTGAAGCTGCCATCAACTTCCAGAGCGTATGACCGCGACTCCGTGATGAATGTGACCTAGTGAGGTTGCTTTAGAACATTTTGGCTGTCATATGCAACAAGGTTACGCATGACACAGACATGTGATTGAAGCCCTGGCTGGGTTTAAAACCCTAAACCCTACACTCTACACCCTAAAAGTGCAGTTTAGGGTATTGGGTTTCTTGCGTACCGGCACTTGTTCTCGAGGCTTTATTGAGGGAAGCAGGGTTGTGCAGCTCGCAGTTACCGACAGATCACAGACCACGGAGATGAAACTTGGGGTGAGCAAGAGTTCAGGTATTTCCATCGGATGCGAAACAGAATCAGCCAGAGCAGCGAACTGATTAATTGAACCCACAACCGTTAAACCCCGCAACATCAAATCCTACAGCCGTAAGACCAGTAATTACTTTCTTTAGTGTTCGCATTAGCATGCAGCCAGACGAAAGTGAGGTGAGCAAGAGCTCACTTCCGACCTATGCACGCCACAGCATTAATTCTATACCTATACCAAACAACCCTAAACCTTCTTATCGAACCCTGCAAGCCAGATCATAATTTCGAGGGATCCCGCTTCTCTGAGCACAGTTTCAGCCAAGGCTACTGTTCTGCCATGTTCTGCCTTTTGTGCAAATTCTGTCGTACCTGCCGCCGCGAGGTTGGGCCGAGGTTTGGGACGCGCAATAATGGGATCTTGCACAGCTTGGCAGGTGCAGTTGATCCTGGACCCGTCCGCTGAAGATCGTGCACCGGAAGAAGTGGCAGAAGCAGGTTTGAGCCTCGCTTTTGCCGCTGCATACTAGACCAGTCAGCCATTGTATGTAGTAGTAATAATAGTGATACTATGCAATAACCCCCTCATCTTTGCAGCAGCAGAAGCGCCAGTCTTGAAGTCGCAACAGAAGACGGGTCTTGCGCTTGTTGTTGCCTTTGTTGGAGGCTTTAGGGTTTAGGCTTAACGCTTTGAGTACATATTTTGCAGGTGGTTATGGGGTTGTAGTTGTGGTGCTGTCGGGTGGCTGTTGTTCTGATGGAGTTTGCTTAAGGTGTAGGGTTGACTACAGAGTCGCCGTCCAATCCTCAAGTCACGAAGATGACCTAGTGTGTTTCTGAGGTAGGTTATAAGGGTTTGGGGTTTAGGGGTGTAGAGAGCTTTGATTAGGATAGTTTCGTTGCTGAAGCTCTGGGAAGCAAGGCATATGCCCTATCACGGATAATGGAAGACTTTGCCCATTGGCATTAGTAGCCTTCAAGATCCAACCTACTTTGACGAGGCGAGCAATCAAGCAAAACTGCTTCACATGAGATACCCCCTTCCTACCCTAAAGCCTGAACGGTAAGCCCTGAACCTTGAACCCTGAACCCTAAGCCCCACTTTAAAAGCAACCCTGAACCCTAAACCCAAACCCTGAACTCTAAGCCCTAAAACCCTAAAGCCTAAACCCCAAAGCCCTAGAGCCTAAGCCCCAAGTCAGGTGGCAAACCCTGAACCCTAAAGCAACCCGAAATCGTGTACGACTCCTGTGCTCGCTGAGGTGCCGCAAAGACCGATGAGCCGGCGTAGGGAACGCGGATGGTCGGATGCATGCCGACAGACTCTACTCTTAATACTGCATGATAATACTAATACTTAATACTGATAATACTAGTACTTAATACTAATAATACTAATACTTAATACTAATAATACTAATACTTAATACTAAATACTAATACTAATGCGATAACTGATGATGAATAGATTTGAACCTGAAACCCCGAACTTTATGTGTTAAGAAAACTACCCCCATAGGCGCTCCACATGCAGCGAGAGTTCCTTGAGCCAGGAACAGTTAATGTGCAACAGGCTTGTCGAAGGCTCCACTTCCCCCTGCCGCCAGTTATGCACAGAGGTCTGATACATGATTCTGTCTCTGAAGCATGAATTACCCTCAACCCTAAACCTTGTAAATCCTGCCATGAGGGTCTCAGTCCTGGTAGCATTTACAGGCTCATGCCTGAGTCCGCTCCCTGACAATATAAAGCCGATATCACCAGCGGAGGCCACGCTAAACCACAAAGGTCCTTGGGTTTAGGGTTAGGGCCTCAACTTCCGTTTAAGCTCCTAGGGTGTGAACATGAACCCCGGGTCCTGGAAATCTAAAAGCTAAGCTGCGCCTGTGTGCTGGGTGGAGCCTTCAAGCACAGCCTGCGTTGGGAGGACCTTTTCGTTTCGGGGGTGCTGAAACATCTTGACGGATCCCAGCAACAGGTTCGGGATGATATAAGATGCCGGTAGGATATAGGCAACTCGGTTACAGATGCATTGACTGTTTTTGAACTATGATGCTCGGTTCAGGATTCGTTGCAAGACTCTTGCAAGAAGTAGTTGTGGCACTGGCTGCATTGCATGGTAAGGATGGTGATAATGTTCTTTGCTGCTTCAAAGTCATTGTTGTTGACGAGGCTGTGGTGCCAGTGGCAGTGGCGATGCTGGCGATGGGAACAGTAATAACGGATACAAGCATAAACCTTGCCAGTTATGTTTGGACGTCACAATGGTCGGGAGTCGTGGTGTTGAAAAGCCGGAGATGGCGGAAACGGACTCCTACTGCGCTCGGGAGCCTGCTTTCAGAATTCTGAGAAGTTCAGGATCGGGTTGTAAACGAGGCGGCTACAGTCAAGAGCTTCAAGAGCTACTGATTAGCATGGGGGTCGGAATAGTTTCATTTCCTTAAAGCCCCAAATGGAACTATAGTATAAGATGACCAAACCCCGATTTAGGCGCCTATAGTAAACAAGGGCCTCCTTCCACCATTTTCCTCTCGGCCATGCTTCGATTGAAAGGGAGCTGGGAGGGGCTTAGGGTTTGGGGTTTAAGGGTTTAGGGGCTTAGGGTTTAGCGGGCATGCGGAGCCTCATATAATTTGTTTTTTCTGATCTTGAAGCATCCCAGGCTTATCATTGTATACCGTTCTAAAGCTTAAGAAAACAGAACAAAAAACAAGAAACAAATCTATACCGTTCTAAGCTAAACCCTAAACCCCTAAACCCTAAACCCTAAAGGAGGACAGTAGGTTCGTGTACCATGTGCCTTCAGCCCTTAGTCTCCTTCCCAGCTTCCGCGTTCTGGCGGCTGCCTCTTGATGTGATCCCACCACAAGCACCACTTTAAGGGGGCTCTCTTTGCAGGCCATAGTGACTTCCTATACAATTATAGGGGGTTCCTTATTCTAAATATAGTATAACAACCCCCAGGGGTTCGGATAAAGGAGGCTTTCTGTACGTTTATCTGCGCAGAGTGTTGAGGGCGTTTTGAGATGAAGAAATCTCATAACGTAGGCCCTTAGCATCTCACCCTGCGCCCACGCACCTGACCCCAAGCACGCATGTATGCCAAATGCCCCCCTAGGTTCGACCCTGAATCACTGAAGCCCACGTATCCAACAGAGCACCTCGTCGAGGAACGTCAAGGGGCAGCGCCGTCAGAATACCCTTTATTGACAAAGCATGCGTGCAGTGCAGGGGAAAATCGGCAGAGTCGTGCGGAAATTGGGACCTCTCTTGCATCTCCTACTCGAGGAGTGAGGTTGAGGATAAGGTTGAGGGTTCGGATTTCGGCTTCCCCAGGAGTGGAATCCAGTGCCCATCGAGTTACCCGTTAGGTGCACCACGGCAAGATGGCTTATGGGCACCCCGGTACCCCGAGATCCTCCAAACGTGCAGGTTGGCACTACTGCAATTTATCCGACGGGGATGCCGGCTGCGCAGGCAGGGAGCTTCTGAAAGGGATGCCATCAGGCTTCCGTTTATTCTGAAAGAGCTGAACCTTAGTTTCGGTGTAGGGCCCGTGACCATGAAGCCTACATCCAAAGACCTTAGACCCCCAGTCTACATGGTTGTTTCCGAAAAGTAAGGGTACCTTATTTGGGGGTCCTTATAATCGGGACCCTACTGTGTAGAGCAAATCAGGCTCCCAAATTTTCACCCCAAGTTGTAAACCCTGGTCAAGCCTGAAAGGTCAGTCCCTGAACACTGACGTCAGGCTGCTTCTTTGGTCCTTGATGGCCACTTCTGAGAGGAACTCTTCGTAGTGCTCCACCTTATATCTACCTTGTACAGAATATCTGAGGTTTTTGAGCCGCAGTTTGGGCGGTCCTCCCAAGACTCTGCGACTGCAGCAGACTGTTGAACGACAGGGTGGTTTAAGAAGCAGCAAGCCCGGGTAAAGAGTATGCGGCAGATCATGTGACACACACACACACATCTAACATGTGTATGTGTAGACTTGTATACGTGCATGTAAGCAGTGTGTACATATGTATACATATATATATATATACACATGTGTGTATATATATATACATATATATATATATATACATACATACGCACACATACACAGGTTTGTGCGTGTACATGTTATAGATATATACGTACATACACACTTGCATTCGACTTATATACTTAATCATTCGTCTGTGTAGCTTTGTATACATCCGTATGTACATGTATGGATGGATGGATATATGTATTTATCTTTGTACGGCTTGGTTGTTTGTATTGATGCAAGCATGCATGTATGATTGTCAGTATGTGCATGCATGTATACATAACTCACCCCAAATGGCTTCAGCCATTAAGAGTCCCAGCTAAACAGAGACCACATGGTCCAGTGGTGGTCCACCCCTCGTGCTAGTCATGAACTCGTCGGTCTAATCATGAACTCGCCGGTCTACAGCATTGTATTGCATATTCTGGTGCATGCGGTGCTCTGCAGAACCTCTCGGTTTTGTGTGTCTGAATGTAAATATACGTATATAAAGATATAGAGAATTATCTGCATGCAGATGTGCAGACAGTCTAGCATAGGCATACGGAGAGAAAACGTGCGTGGACAACTGAGGGAAGCAACCGCAAGGACACTCAGACACTCGATGATGGCTGCACCGCAAACTGACCATTGACGTATAATTATCCAGAACATATCTACCTGTCTCTCTGTGCTCGCAGTCGATGCTAGATGTGGCACTTGAGAACACGACCAGCATCAAAGCATAGGCGCCTGCTGCTCTCGCTTTCCGAAGCTTCAAGACCGGTCCGTGCGATGCCCTTGGGGGAACCCCTTGGGTGGCCCCGGGCTTGACCATGTTGCGAACCCTGAAGTCTAAACCGTCCTAAGGGCTTTCCCGGGTTCCTAGGTTCCCGGTTTCGTTTTGCAGGCTGCCAAACTCGAGACTCCAGGGTAGAGGACGTAGATCGACTCCCGGCAGGAAGCAACCTGGTTGGGTTTTTGCTAGCTGCTACCAGTCACGCGCAAGCGCGTTGGGCTGACGCTGCTTCCGCTTGTTGCCAGACGGCCCGTGAAGGCCACATGCATTCGGGATGAGAAAGATGTAGTCGCATCGGCATTAGCTGATCACAGTGTTGCGCAGACTCGTGGTGTGTGCCCACACAGGCACTTTCCTCAACCTACTACAGGGGCTGAAATAGGTACCAATACTATTTTGGGGGTTCCTTAGTATAACTACGGTATAGTGGGCCCCCAAACCCTAATTATTCTATTACTAAGGCCCGCCCGTATATTACTGATCTGTATTATACACCCACCGCAGAAACTTGCCAACACTGCGCCGTGAGCACAGCAATACGCAGGACCCCCCAAAGGGCTTGGAAAACTTGACTGTATGGGGTACTCCCAAGACTCCCCAAACCAATAGGTTCAGTATGGGACATTGCAGGTCGTGGCTTGGAGGTCTTTTCGAGTGAACTGAAATCCTATTTGATAAATCCAAATCTCAGATGGCAGATTCCAAATCACAGTTCCTCCTTTCTCAAACAGGGAGTGTCATGGGAGCGGTGTTGAGGGAAGAGGTTGGTGCAGGGAGGGACTCAGCCAGCTTTAGTATAGGTTCGGGGCGTCGATGGCTCACTTAAGCCCCACTCCCTATAATAGGGGCCTTATTCATCACCTATACTATTTTGGGGTTCCTGATTACAATTATAGTGTAATGGGCCTTAAACACCTATTCTACTTATTGAGGCCCCTATATTAATTAAGGATATGTCCACGGCCTACGCGGACACGCTCCGAATCCGTTCTATATCCATTCTATCCCAAAGGCCGAAGTCGTCCTTGGCACAAGCGGAGGTTTCCATGAGGCTGTAGGCCGTTCTGGAACCCGGTCCTTGCCCCTGATGCAAGTCTTTCATGATGGAGAAATTATGTGCATATGCTCCTATTGCCATCGCAGCCTTATCCCTTCTAAGGGACGTGCGGGATATCAAGGTCATAGTCACTAGTCAGGATCGGCGCTTGCTAAGAGATGTGCTACAAGTAAGATTCAGAAAGAGATCTCCCCTGTTTCGATGTTCACGGCTCATTGTGAATCATTGACCAGTGTGCCAATGGTCAGACGTTGAAGCAGAGGGCATTGACTGGAGGTCGGGGTGCGAACTGGCGACAGCTTCTCGTCGGAGGTTTTCGACGAACTCCGTGTGTTTGTTAGTGATAATGGTGCTAACGACACCCTTGCAGCTGCTACTGCTGCTGGTATTGTTACCCGTTCCCCAGCTGCTACTGCT